AAATACCACTATTGCAGGGGCTCCATTTTTGCTTGGTTTCATTGTTTACTATTATAGTCGTAAAGATGGATGACAGACACTCATCATGTTTAATTCTTGCGGATACATTCCGGTGATGACTTCAATCAAACAACACATTTATTTTCATCAAACAGTTGTGTAGTGGCTGACGTGAAAGTGAAAGAACCTTCTAGAGTCTCAAGTTGGACAGACTTGTGTTCAGAGACAGATGAAACCCATCAGAGTGGCAGATTGGGAATGGTTGGTTGACCGGAGTGCACCGTGCCTACTGGGTGATCATCCATATGTTTATGTTAGATGGGTGAATTTGAAGGGCGCAGAGCGGCTGGCCACATATGGACACACTTTTTTCAAAGATTGGACGGCCATTACCGCATAAACATAGCAATCATCTGCTCACAAGGTTTCCCAATCTGCGGGGGAAAAACATAGGTTCAGGGATGTTTCCATGTATACTTCCTCTCAGCATGAATAAAACCATCATCTGACATGAATCATCGAATCAATCCCATATGTAAATGCTCACGGGAAAACCGGTTTGATGGGTGTATTGCTCATGCAAGCTCCGGCAGCTTTACGATGGAGCCAACCCGGCTCAGGCCAAGTGACATCTTAGAAGTCTGGGTTTTTGTGTTTTCTTTGGCTCGCACAGGATGAGAGCGCAGCCGAGCAGTTGAGATGAAACCCCGGCCATGAGAAAGGGAGGTTGTTTTCGTTAAGAGCACACGGGCTCAGGTTGCAGATCTGTTTGTGGAAGCCACACTGAGCTGAGTTGTTTATATCCATCACAGGTTCTGTCAGGGAATTTCAGCAGCGCAGAGGATATTGTTATTGCCTTAAATATTATTCATGGTTTAAATATATATTATCATCATCAGGCAAGCTGGAGAGGGAACGAAATAAGACGCCAACTGAGGTCATATAAACATGTGGTATTAATGGCAAATCAGTTCAGTTACATGACGTGGACCACACAGAGTTTTAAAAAAGGAAGTTTACTGAGGAGGATGTTACCACTCAATTACTGACCTTAAATAGATGCCTCAACTACTTAAATGAGAACCCATTTACACTTCATTCATCCTAGGCAGGATCAAAAGTCTGAGAGCTGAGGTCGAATGCAGCTATGAAGTATTGGAGATGAATAGAAGTCTGAATGCTCTGCAAATACACAAGTGTGGAATATGGAATTACCTATGAAGTGACACCAAGACTCAAATTAACTGTTTTTCATAAGTTACAGGAAAAGTGATTGCATAGAAAGTGAAATTGCTCTGACCTTTTATAAGCCTAACCCAATCACTGAATTCTCCACGGACAAAATATAATTCCCATCTTTTCATGAATAGTTTGCAAGTTAAACTGTCTTTGTAACTAAGCTACCAACCTGCAGAGGTTTTTGGCAGTTGCCACTCTCTGAACTGGAGAAGGATCAGCATTTCAGCATTCACGGTGCATTTACAGTCTCCGATTAAACTAAAACCAATCTGCATGTCTTTGAAATGAGGGAGTACCTTAAGAACATCCATGTAGATACTTGGAGAACATGAAAAGCAAGACGTACATGCTACTCACACGTGTGATGCAGATAATAGAAACACATATATGTGACGTAATGTATCAAAACTTAAACTGACATAGTGAGAATGAAACATGGATAAAACAGTGAGTGCTCATGTGTTGCTATGCAAGTGTACACTCAGTATTTGGATCTAAAACAGTGCAACATCCCTGTGCGTCTGACACAAAGGTCAGTTTGTATTGAACATCTGTATTGCAACAAAGAGGTCTTTCTCTTCTTTATGCTACACTCATTAATTGGAATGGCTGGACAAAATAATAGGAACACCTGTCAATATACCACAACGAGTGCCACAAATCACAGCCTCCAAAAACGATCAAACAATTGAATCAACAGGATTTAGCGAAGATTTCGGTTGTATTCTTTTTAGCCACATGTTCCAATAAACTCACAACTAAGTGTGTATGTGTCTTTGTTTTGCCGGAGTGCCTAGGTGAGTGTGTTCATGTGTGTGCAGCTTTTGTGTGTCCTTTACAAGCAGGCTCATTATAAAACCAATTAAACCTGCCTTACTCTCATTATGGAGCTGTGGGGCTTAAGGAGAGATTGAGGACCTGTTGTGCCCCCGTGGGGATTCTGCCCGGTCAGCCCTGTTTTAAATGATAAAACCACTCTTAAAGCTGCTGAAATCAAACACCACGGATCGGTCACGATGGCTCAGTGTTTGTCTGAGTTCATCCCTGCCCCCCTCGATCCTCGGTCACCCTCATCATACCCGACTTAGAAGGAAAAACACCACAAACCACATATACAACTTGGGAAAAGAGGATTTTTTAGTTTCCCCACAATCTGGTTTCTATCTGTGCTATTTATGATATTAGGAGTGTGGGAACAAAAAATGTATACTGTAATGCAAATTTTGCATGGGACTGTGGAGCAGTTGGATAAGTCGTAGGAGGAGGAGAAAGACAGAAGATGGGACGAGGGAGAGAAAACAGACAATTAGCGAGCTCTGAGATAAATCGGTCTATGAAATAACTATTTAATGGGATTGTGCTCGGTGTGGAGGTAATGACTGTCTGCTGAGAGACAGACTGTCCCTCTATGATGTGGAATCAACTGACACACATCAGATGTCACTGTTGTTCTCATGACTTGTGTGTTGGTATGCAGAGGATGGCGCCCAACCTTCCTCATAACCCCAAGGTATCTTCCCTCCCACCCACAAAAAAAACAACACGCACTTGCGTTTGAGCAGATTTTCTTCCTCCCTCCTTCGTTCTCGGTCGGCGGTGCTGACGCTCTGGGAGGCACAGCTGCCTGGAAGGTGGAGGCGTGATTGATTGATGAAGTTTAGGTGCCCACGGGATCCAATCATGTAATCAGTTTGTATTGAACGACTGTCCCCGCTGAGCGACTGCTGAGGCTCTGCCACCACGTGTGTGGAAACTAAACCTGGCACCCGTTCAAAATCTTCCGCAGTCAAACTTGATTTGCGGACGGCGAGGTCGCCTAAAGCCACGTGCCAGGATGCAGGCAAGGAGGACTGGCATAATCGCACCGCAGACGTTTCGCAACACTTCCACGATTCTCTGCTCCAATTCATCATTATTGCACATTTATGTTAATTATTATGATTGAGAAATTAATTCAGCTTCACTGTAATTGAATCACATGGTTAATGATCCAATCTCCGTGGAATTAAATAGGGCTTCAACCTGGGTTTGCATTGCTAATAAGGTTTTTTTTTCCTCCAGCTATCATGCTTTATTCAGACTTTGCTCTCTCATTTCACACTTAGATTTCAAGTGTCAACTCATCGTTACTGTGTGATGCAATGCACATCATTCCTGCACCAATGGTGAGAGATGGGGTTAAAAAATTCAAATAAAGGTATTTTTATGAAATAGAAAGAAAAGTAGGAGCATTTCCTGGCCCTTGGGGCTGCAAAGGACTTTGGGTAATGATAATGAAACATAAAGTAGACAAATAAGCAGGTTTGTTACAACTCTTTCATTATATGTAGAGTACAATGAGTGGGTCGTTTATAGTGGCAATAATAAAGGTTTTTCAGCATACTCACCACTTTAAAAGCATTTCCACATCTTCACAGAGCTGTGCCTTTCCACAGCTCTGAAATCACTACGCCACTTACAACAAAGACAGACCTGCTTATTTGTTTGCATCGCTGTAACAGCAACACCTTGTTTGCAGTCAGAGGTGGGAGAGGAGAACTGAAAACTGTTCTCCATGCTTGCATTTAATGAGCCCCAAAAGACGGCTGCCTGAAAGTCACTCCAAAGTCAAATTAAGGCTGAGCTCACTGAACATGTTTCAAAACACAGCTGCATCATGGCTGGAACCTCAGGGGTGGAATTAGGTCAGTCGCACCGTCAACTGGACAAGTGAGTGAGAAGCAGCGGCTCAGACTTACTTTCCTCTTCTCAGTCTCAGCTTCACAATGAATTTAGTCTCTGTACATATTATAAAATAGAATATATATCATATCTTTTTCCTCAGGCCACAGTTTAGGACAGAGGACAGACTGTCAAGCCCTATGAGGCAAATTGAGATTAATGAATGGGATATACAAATAAAAATGGATTAATGATATTAACAAACTACAGGAAACTGTTGCGTCAGAAAACCAAATGGAAGCTGATTTACTTTTGGTTGAGGCCCGTCGTTCTGCATCTTTCAAAACTTTGTGCTAAGTTGGCGAAAAAACATCAGACCCTCTCCTTCACTGCACCTCATGGTAAAACACTTGATGAGTAAATGTCCTGAAATGTTTAAGTTTGTCTCATGCCTCTTTTCAACGTACCTACATTTACTGTATGAACTATCGATGCAGTTGTGTTTCTAGTTAGGAGCGATGTTGTTTCAGTGATGTACTTCCAAGTCCTTCTCTTTCATAAACAAATGAACAGGCTGTTTATTTATTTACTGGAAGCAGCTTCTCTGTTAATGAGCTAATGTTCTAATTGATTACCATCCAGCAGAGAGTTTGTTTACAACTGATAAGTCCTTATCAGATAAGTCTCTTTGTCAGCATAGAATAAAATGTAAATGGCTCGTACAAGAGGACATAACGCAGTGTTGTAAAATCTGGAGAAATGGTCTGACTAATGTGGAGAGAGACTTTGAAAGGTTTTTGCCAGTGTCGTGAATTCAGCAGGTATGCAATCCACCACACGGAGGAGTGTATAGGTTTTTATTTGAAGTGGGAAAATATACCACACTTCAGAAGATTATAGTAAAATGCTGATGGTGGTGATCCAACTGAAACAAAGCTGTCTGTGTTGTATCTTATTACAATTAAAGAATACCTCTTCATCCAATTCCACAAGCGTACAAACGGAGTATTACAGTAGAGAAGAGATGTCACCTGACACATGTACAGTGACCACTCATTGCTCATCACTCACCGTCTCTGTGTTTGTCTGTGTCTCTAAAGATCAGGGTGGACGGCCCTCTGGAGGGAGGAGTGCAGTACGAGACAGTGACCGTGATGAAGGATAGCAGGGCCATCCTCCGGGACATGGCCTTCTCTCTGGACAGGAACTCTCTCTATGTCATGTCTGACAATCAGGTAAGGAAACGCCCGCGCTCCGTCGCCACTGTCAGGAGAATTATTAAGCCTGTGATGCAGTGAGGAGCGAGACCGCCCGTGGGTTCAAGCCACGGAGACATGTTCTTGAGAGAGACACTGTATGTGAGGCAAACTTTAAGTTTAACATGAGAAGGTGAGGTGTGGAAATAACAGACATAAAGACAAAAACAATCTCCTTGTCTAATCACTATTCCTTGAAGAAGAAATGTGGAGCTCAGACAACCATGTGAGGATGATTTTGATCTCTTCACAACAATAGCTGGGGTTTTTTTTTCTTCTACTCAGGAGCAACGAGAATGTTGCGGCGCTTTAAATGTTGCTGCTGAAAAGAAATGCAATTGTGGGACGGTATTTTGTCCTTTTCTTTCATAAAGGATGGTGCAGCGTTTCCTACGCTGAAGGTGATAAGAAAGGAAGCATTGCAGATTCTTCCCTTGTCATTTAGAGAATTCAAACAGCTCTTACCATAGAGGCCACTGAAATACTTCTTGGTCATTTCACTCAGTTGGGAACCTTCCTAAGCCAAATGGATTGTTTAAACGTACCGGCTGTCTCAGTTTAGTTTTCAGCCATGTCCGTTTGATTGTTGCTTGATGTGTGGGATTTGTTTGTGGAAGGATGTGGGTCAGGGAAGAACCTGTTATATTTTGGTGTGGACCCAGAAGATGTGGGGGATGTGGGGGAAGATCCAATAACTTTTTCACTTATGTTTACATTGCGTGACGTTTTTCAACATTTTCTCCATTTTCCAGGGAATAATTAATGGATTTTGCGGAAAAATATCAGGCTCATTTAGGACCAATCCATGAGTTTGTTTAATTCTGTGCAGCTTGATTGACTTAATGGGGACGGTTGGGCCTTATTGACGGAGGTATGCGCTCTGCTAAGTTCCATTCAAGCTTCTTAAGTATTAGTTTGAATCTAATTTATTGGGATGCTGCAAAAACTAATGTTTGGCTTTGGTGCACACAGATCACAGCATTACTGTTAGCATTAGCCTCATTGTGTATAGTCTGGGAATTAGCAGTCAAACTGTTTTAAATCAAAAACATTAATTTATGATAAATGCTAAATTAATTCCATTTATTTGGAATCCGACCAAATGATTAGAACTTATCCCCTGAAACCCGATGTGGCAAATCTCTAACATTCACACACCGTACAGTACGTCCACAGTAGGGATTGTTAAATATGCAGGCTGCGCGTAAGGGGATGGACCGCTGCTCTAATTACTTATCCATGCGAATCGACTTACAGTGCATGCATCTTTTGTATTCAACACACACACACGCACACACACACACACACACATACACACACACACCATATAAAAACCATTAGCAGCTTTTTCTGTGTGGCTGTATCCCCCCTCATCTGCTCCTCACTTGGCCCGGCATCACAGAGGCGAGCAGTTGTTGTTGTTGGACGATATTCCTGCACTCATTGGAGATAAGAGTGAAACAGTGATAATCACTTTCAACTCCCATCAAGTGATTATTCTGGCGTGGCTGCATGGCACTGTGAAATGGGATTAGGTTTCAGTTTGGCCAAAAAAGAAAAAGAAAAACCTATCACTGCTCTCAGTTGTCTCCTGACTGCTGGAATGTATTGAGCCGCAGTCAGGACCGAGGCAAAGGCCACTGTGACAATTGCAGCTGTGTCATTTATTTCACAGAGGCTCCAAAGTCTTTTCTTGGACCTTGAAAAAGTGTCTGGGAATCCATAAAAACACACAAAGTTTAAGAGAACAAGCGATGTCATCTGAGGAAGCGGGGGGGGGGGGATAGAGACAGTATTGTGTCTGGTGCTGTCTCCTAAAACAAATCAAGGCAGCTCTTCCTTCTGTGTGATAGACTGGAAGAGACAGGGCATCACTTATTGATGAGCGCTGGTCGTTTAAGAAGAAGACACATGCTTCCTTCAAGAGGATAGCCGGCTACTCTCTTCACTCCACCTTTAGTGACACTTTCTGTAATAACCGAGCCAAAACCAAACCCAGCTTGGCCTGGCGTTTTCTCTCAATATTAGAACAGCTCTGGCTTTGTAGCCCTCAAGAGCTTGGAGCAGAGTAAAGCCTTCCTCTTTCTGTCTCCCTCTTCATCTTTGCTCAGCTTTCCCTCCAGACTTTCCCTGCACTTGGGGTAAGGAATCCCCCGGGGAGGGGCCTTCGCTCGCAGATTTCACACGTTTCCAGTGGAGCCCAGAGATGAGAGATTTTCGGATTCCTGGGAGCCAAACAATACAGGAATGATGTGGAATGAGGAGCGAGGCACAGACAGATTTGGCTGAGATCAGCCGACCCTTGTGGAATAACAATGAGCCTCTCTGTCTCCTGCCGAGTGAAACACGCAGGGTTAGCATGATGATGAAGAGTGAGGAGAGAAAAGAGGGAATCAGTGTGTTTCTGTGCAGAGACGTGCATTTTGGTGTGTCTCTCTCTGTCCACAACAAAACATCATTTGGGAACCATTATTGATATGAAAAAAAAGTCTTCACAGCATTTAATCCTTTTTCTCACTATGTGCCTTTAGTTTGATCATTTCCAGGAACAGGAATACTCAGCATCCAAACACAAAACAACCTCAGTGAATGTCACCCGTCTGTCTGTGAAGTGACGGCTAAGGCTTTAAACGTTAGAGTGGGAGGGGGAAACTGCTGCAGGGTTTTTCCAGGGCAATCTCTCAAAGTGCCACTCTGAAAAATTTAAAATCACTGCTTGAAATCGCACCCATCCACTTCTTTGTCTGTCTGTCTGTCTCTCCTCCTTCACCTGAATGTGATTATTCTGTTCAGCAGTGTTTCCCTACCTCTTCTGTACCACCACAGATTTATCACATGATAAATTCAGCACATCATGTTCCAAACAAGGCTGGATTACTAATCGAGCAAAAAGGGTTACCAGGTTTACTCCAGATCAATTGTTCTCGTTCATTGGTCATTTGGAGGTTTTTTTGTTTTTATTAATCTCAGATTTGCAAGAAGCTAAATACGCTTTCTAATCATAACATGAAATGTCACATATAGATATTTAAGTCTTTCAAGGAATTCAAAATAGAAACCAATCTGTATTAGATTTGTCCATAAATTCTAGTCATCTAAAGTTTATTTTTTATTCTTTAATATGTACCAATTCAAATGTAGTGTATAAAATTCATTATGGTTTTTAATTTTAGAACTCACTTCATTCAACCCTGTACAATGAAATTAGGTCTAAATACAAAGCATGAATAATAAACATGCAAAACAGTTTGCAATTAAATCCTGATATTACATGTGTTGATGAGTCCTAAACACAAAATCCTGGACATGACCTGATATATCCAACCAACAGTCATGTGATGGTTGGTGGATTTTCCAGAGCCAGACGTAAGATACGTATATGATGACAGCAGTGCAGCGAATCTAAAAGCCTGCATGCTCATCTGACAGCATTGGTAAAGTTACAGTAAATCCGGATGAGTGTTTAAGTGATAGAGCGAACTGGTAAGACGACAGGATCGAGCATTAAAGCAGGGGGCGCCCCAGATGTTGTGGAAACATAGAGATTTTGTAATTCCCAAAGCTGGAAAAGTGGACATGGTCGTCATCCAATCCTGCCATGTTACGGCAGAGACAGGAAAAAAACGTTCAATACCAGGAAGAGTGAGATGTGGCCTCCAGGGAACGGAGAATTTTCTTTGTTTGCTCTAAATGATCAGTTTCTCTTGAAGGAAATTATCCCAGAGAAGACAAAGCAAACAAAAGCTTGATGAGAAAAGTACAGCATCTGGTCATGAATGATGTATGAGGCATCCACAGCATATTGAACATGAACGAAGGCTCGATTCAGCTGTCCAACGGAAAGTCACAGTGTGTGTGTTGTACTGTGGTGTATGGTCATCAACAGAATAAGAACTGTGAAAAATATCACTATTTAAACTAACATGAACCATTATGGCTGCAAAACTGTAGTTGATTGCACAATCCTTCCATTTAGGTTTGACCAATTACATTTACATAATGGGGACTTTCATCAGGATGGACACAATTACAGGAACACCTGCTCTATTATACCATTCAATACAGAGCTGAAGTCCCAGCATCACCTCCGGGCATTTTATACCTTCACCAAGGATGTTATGTTGTTTTCATTGCCCTTTGTTGGTTTGTTTGACATTTGCAGGATTACTAAAAAAAAAAACCTGAGCAGATTTGAATGAAATTTTGTGGAGGAAGGGCCCATTAGATTCTGGGTTAATAATTATAATGATAGAAATTACTTCCCATCATATGCTATTATATTTACCTGTCATTATGAAATCTCATGATTACAATGTTAAATTATAGAATTCAGCCTTAGTTTGTATGTTTGAGATATATATTTTTCCTCTGTGCTCTTCTCTTTTTGTCATTCACGATAAAGCAAGGATGTTAAAAAATTATTTTAAGAGATGCTTCGTTTAGAAAGAGGAGATTCTTTAACTGCACAGATAATTATGAAGTTGAAGTGAGCAGATGTTTCTTCAGACATTTGATGTATTATATGTAGATATCAGCAAAAATATCACAGGATATACATCGCCCCTCCAAAGCTTTCATATTGTTATTGTGTTTTATGTAAAAATCCTGGTGGCCAGTGATTCAGACTCAAACCATAATCATACTAAGTGTGTGATTGCAGTCGTGGATCATTGTTGCATCACCGTACCTGTCTCTCTTTCCCTCTCCCTGTATGTACGATCTGTATCTAAACTGTTGGTATGCAGTTAAGGAGAATTCAAGAAAAGATCAGTACGAAACAAGAACACCAGCTGACAGAGAGAGGGAGATTGATCAGCTTATCCACATGCTGAGCTGCTATCATAATTACTATCCTGTGAACATAAAACCTGAGGATATCTTATTTGAATTCAGCGTGGTGTGCTCCTGCTCGGGTCAGATCCACTAAACAAATCAACTCTGATGTGCAGCAAGAGCTTCACATTTGATTTTCAGTCGTGCAGCAGAAAGCAGAGGATCCATAGCTCTCTCCTTGTTAAAGGTCAGGCTGCCAAACGGCCACAGACCAACTTTGTTAGTTTAGACGAGCTCCAGCCCACAACAATTCATGGATTATTCCTACTGCGTCAGATATGGACTTTAAGCTCTCGGCCCCACCCGCACTTCAAAATCATTTTGCTAATGGAATGCACCAAATGGGTTGTGAACTGCTGGGGGAAAAAAGAGAGAAAGTTATTTTGTTGGGAGCTGCAGATAATCCATTTTGCCAACACAGACCTGAGAGAGCACCCACTTATGCTATCAAGAGCACCGGAGACACTCTAATCCATAATCCACTCTTCATTTGTGATTGCTTACATCAGGAAATTGCTTGCATCATACGTCCAAACCGAGAATAATAACAAAGTATAAAATAGCCAGGCTCAGGCTGCGGCTCCAACCTGGTTTTGTATGCAGGGGTGGTGCTGGCTGTGCGACAGCTAATGGAGAGCTTATGCTTTGCCAGACGTGCACACACGGATGTGGCAGCGGTAGTAGAGTGTGTGGTTGTCTGTCAGTTTGGCTGTGTCTCTTTGCTGGCATGAGTTCCAGTGTGTGGAAAATAGCAACACAATCCTACACTGTGTCCTCACAGAGTAATTACCATTGCACGAGTCCACAAATGCTTTAGTGCTGCCAGGTCCTTTATCAAATGTTAGAAAGAAAAGTTAAATAAATATACTGCTGCTGAAAATGCTTTTCAAATAGCTGCGGTGTCATTTCATGAGCTTTCTGCCATCTGAGAAAAAAAAAAATCAGATAAATCCTAATGTGGGCACAACTACAATACTGCATGTTGCAAATTTGTGTCGGTGGCAAGAAGTAGAAAAAAAAAGGGGGGTTGTTTTCCTCTGGGATATTCTACAGTGTGTACTGCGATGAGGCTTCCATATATTGCAAAATAGACAACATGATGAAACTGGCTTTGGTCTCTCCTCATCAGAAGTGCTTATTATTTCATCAGAATGTTTTGGTTGCACGCCTTCGGTGACCTTATTTCCACTCCGTGGCATTTTTAACTTTAGTCACACAAAGAGTTGGAAACTTTAATCACCAGAATGACTTTTACATAAAGGTAGTGAGGAAGTCCTCCAGCGTGGAAGTGTAAATTCATCTCCCCTTGGATGAACTGTACATAGACTCCATAATTTCTAAGGTAGCTTTATCTATCTATCAACCAACCAACCAAACAACCATTGTGGGGAAATATAAGCTCCTTGGCGGATGTTACCATGTATGTGGAACTTGTAATAATTAGATTATAAGATTAATCAGATTTATTTACTTTTCTAATTATGTGCCATGAAACAAATATCAAATGTTTTCTGTCTGTATTGATCATCTTGTTAGGCGGCTGGTTTGGGGGCATTTCTGTCTTCCCTGTGTTTCTGGTCTCCAGAGTCGACTATGGAGTGAAAAGCCAAAGAAAATATTTTAAGAATAAAGATGTATGATACAGATCAATACGACCGAATTTGGCTTCGGTTTCTTTTTCCCAATTTTCCCAACGCAATTGTCAAATAACTGAAGACCACTACCACCACCAAGTCCATCAGCCTACACATGCCAACTTTGCACTTACTGTCTGTGATAATTCACCAGTGTGTCTTTCTTTAAAATGTTTATTTAACCCCCCTGTCTTTCCTCTGCTTTAGGTGGCTCAGGTCCCTGTGGAGGCCTGTGAGCAGTACGGCACATGTGCTGAGTGTCTGAGCTCTGGAGATCCTCACTGTGGCTGGTGTGTTCTGTATAACATGTGAGTCTGCTCCCGTTATCTCCTCACATACACATGTCACAGCCGAGGGATTAAAACCACAACATTGCTGTTTGCTAAACAGTTCATAAAATAAAGCCATGAATAAAGCTGAGCACATGCTCATATGATTTGTTTGGTTTAATACAACAGACTCCCTGGAGTTCACCCTTATCAACAGCTGGTGGGACAAACATAAAAAAAAAAGGGAAGTAGTTGTTGGACAGTGTGATCGCCCTTAAATAGCACTACTTAGGACAGCACAGCCTGCATGCCCACCAGATTTGATTGTCTCTCAGGCGGGAGAACCATGAAGGAGGGAGGGATTAGCCTGGCAGACACAGCAGGTGTCCAAACTGGACCTCAACATACCCAGGGAACATTTTGGACCTGACGGAGCGAGCTTATCTCTTCCATCTTAATTATCCGACCCCAGGGTTAGCTTGCATAATACCTTGATATGGAGCAAAGGGGATTCAGGAGATTAAAACCCTGTGTTTCTGAACCAGCCGCTGCGTTTGAAGCTGACCTCAGTCGGGGATTTTCCCTCGTTTCATCATATGACGTCTGCGTTTCAGCGAGCGAGCAGTATCTTGATGACGATCAGCGTTATTTAAAATGGTGCTCTCATGGTGTTATCAAACTGCTATTGTAGTAAGAAGAAAAAAATATATAATGTTTTGTTTTAATCTAAATTACCTCATTAAAAAGTTTTTCCCCTTTTTTCCTGAGTGCTGACTTTGTCTGCAAGTCCCATTACGCTGTTTATTTAAATTAAAGCCTTACACTTATCAGTGAGCAGGCTGTTGTTCCCTCGAGTTCCCCAAAGTGAATCATGATCCCTCACACTGTGGAATGAGGCTAATTTATTTTTCTGTCTATTAAATCCAGATTGAAGTCTTTTTTTTTTTTTCTTGCCTCTGAATAATCTCACAATGTCATGTACATCGCTTTGAGTATCTTATTTTCCCACCCCTCGCTCACTGCACCAAAGCACCTATCTGACAGAGTGAGTGTGTGGGGGGGGGGGGGGGGGGGGGGGGCGCAGCTGAACATGTTAAAAGCCTAAAGGAAAAGAGAACAAATGGCTCCATCAGACAAAAACACGGTGAATAAAAGACGCAAAATAAAAGGCAATGAAAGAGAGCCCGAGATGAAAGCCCACTTTTTTTTCCGAGGCACTTCAGCTGATGAGCGGTCAGAAGGTGACTGTCTATACTCCCGTGGCTCTGGTCCGCCTCAAGGAGCCGAGCCAGCAACAGCTGTCATCCCGTTTCCATTCCGCCTTTATATTGCATTGTAATTACAGCAGAGGCCTCAGTGCTCTTTGAGCTCTCTCAGGAGGTGCCACCCCCTCAGCAGCATCTGAGAGTGTATTAAGTGCGGCCTTCCCTCTCCGCATTACACATTTAAAAGAATGAGATGACAGTGAGCAGCCAGCATATTGTCTGTTGCCAGTTACGATGTAACTCTGCAGCTGAGAGATTTTCTTTTTAAAGCAGCGTAAAAGTACAGTACAGCCCGCCTGTCAGTATCATGCATGCCGACACTCCAACACTGCCGTTTTCAAAGAAATCAGTATCAATACAACGACATTAAAAACAATATCCACAATATATGTGTTTTTGTTTATAGCAAATCAATACCCAGGTTGGCCCTTATCGCTATAAATAAGTTATCATCTTTGTCTGTGTCTTTTTCGTGTATGGAGCCTAATTTAGCGGTTAGCGAAAATGTTCCTCATGAATTGTCAGGGCAAGTTCTGGAAAATGTGCAGAGCAACTTAGTCAGACTTTCGTGTTCTCAGATAGAACCAGTCTGGAAAATATCAGGAGAATGTCCGGACTTCAGTGCAGGGCATTGACTAATTAGTCCTGACGGAATCAAGAAACTGTCAACTTTGATGGCAATCCACTCAAAAATAATTCAGAGGCCAAAAAGAAAGAGCAATGCATCAAGTGTGACTAAAAATCAGTCTGTGCTTCATAACTAAGTATTGATGCATTATTTTTCACATTTTAATTCTGTGTCTTCGTTGCCTCACAGGTGCTCGAGGAAGGATCGGTGTCAGAGGGCAGAGGAGACCTTCCGTTTCGCCACTGACATTGACCGCTGTGTGAAAGTTATCGCTCATCCGGACAGCATTGCTGTCTCAGCACACAGTGTCCCTGTGAGTCCTTGCATCATTTCACCAGTCACAGCACTGTCAGTCCACTCACTGTGTTTATCAGTAATCATTGCGAGAAGCCTCGTATGGCCACATGTACAGCAAGTACAAGTCTGCGACAGAAAACTGTGAGAGCTGAAGGGAAATGGCATCGGCATCAGTTTGTTTTGGTGTAAACAAGTGTATTGTGAATCAAGATACACGTTTGAAGAAGAGTTGTTTTTGTAGCAATGAGAGACTCTGTCTTCATCTCTTATCCGTTGACTAAAAGGTTGATTCAATTCCCTAAAAGCTTAATTCAACTGTGTTTCTACAGTTGCCAGGTGGAGAGAGGAGTGAGGTAAAGGAGCCAAGGAACATTATCACAAGAGAACAGTTTGACATTTTGAGAAAAACACTTAAATTGATTTAAATGTTAAATACGAAGCTGGAGCCAAGAGATGATTATCTGAGCAGAAAGACTGGAAATGGAGGGAAACAGCTTGGTAGCATGGCTCTCTCCTGACGACCCACACCACAGCAGCACATTCATATTTTTTTTCATTTTCTTGAGAGCTCAAATGTACAATTACTTTTTTTGGGATATACGAGATTCACTTCTTGGATTATTTGTGGTTTTGTCCTTCAGATTTTTGTTCGGATTAAAAATTCAGTGTGTAGAGTTTAGGTGAAGTTGCATGATGCAGCTGAACACCCCTCCTCTTCCAAACATGAAAGAGGACCTGTGGTAACCTTCAGTTGTCATAAAGAATCAAAAGGATTACTTTGTTAAGTTTGGACAACTGTAAAAAACATGGTGGCCTCCATACAGAGGACCCGCTCCCCATGTAAATATAAAGTATTTAAATATAAAGGGCCCATTCTTTTTTTTCTGCAAAGTAGAATTTAATTAGTTGTTTGATGCTATAACACGGGTTGAGACATCACAGCTGAGACTGACTTTGTTGAACGTCTGTTTTTCTGGGACCTAGACACCGTGTCCAGGATGTCTTGGCTTCATTTTTCTAAATTGGGACAAAGTGGAAACGTGTCGTCCAACGACCAATGCACCAGACCAGCCTCAAGTTTGACACATGAAATCATTGTCTTCTTTCTTTTAGCTTCTGCTGGAGGTGAATAATGTTCCAGACCTTTCCGCTGGAGTCACCTGTTCATTTGGCCAGCAAGCCCAAGTGGAGGGCCACGTCAAAGGGAACAGGGTCATGTGTCTGTCCCCGGCTGGGAAGGAGGTCCCACAAATACCAGAGGGACAAGGTGAGCTCAGACATCAGGTCTCAAAACAAACTAAAAAGTCACCGACAGGTGAGAAGCTTAAAATGTCAACACTCCAGAAACACAAACAAAAAGCAGCTTTCTTTTTCCATTGACCACCCTAGGTTTTTTAGTTTATCCCAAGAGTTTGATAAGTAGCACAGAGCTGTAGAATTTCCTCTGAGCAAATACAGTAATCCTTCAATTGAAGTCTCTGACTGAAGGTTTTCTCAAGACAACAGCAATGTGCCCTTGCAGAGACGCAAACACCAGGTGGCTCTTTACAGGAATGAGATAAAAGTATTAACATTTTTCTCATTTTGACCTCCTCTTTTCGCTCTTTGTTTTCCCTTACCCGCTTGTACTTTTTTGCCTCTCTCTCACTCACCTTTTTTTTTTTCATCCTGTTATCCCTCTCGCATATTTTGTCATTCCTTCGTTTCCTCTTTTCACTCATTCCCCCTCGCCCCCCTCTCTCTCTCTCTCTTTCAGACTGGGCTGGCGTAGAACTTCGTCTAAACTCAAAGGAGACGGGTCAAACGGTCGCCAGCACCGAGGTGAAGTTCTACAACTGCAGCACGCATCAAACGTGAGTCCCAGCTGCCACTGCCCCTCCAGCCCCCCCACCCCCACCCCTACTCCCAACCCCTACCTCTGATTTGTTCAATAGACGGTGGAGCACAACTTAATTTAGGGCAATGATGCACTGATGCTCACAAGCCCACTTAAGATGGGGCTGTTAGATAACCTCTGAGTTCAATTTATCTGTCAGGTTTCATTTGAATCAACACGATGCACTCGACATGGTCTGTTTGTTCCGAGTTTGCTTAAACTGGCAGCTTGTGATCTCACTGCTCACAGTTTTAATCTCTACTAATCTGATCTCTACAGTTTTTTTGTCAATATTCTGAAAGAGAAAAACAGCCCCAATTACCATTATATTTACTAATAGCATTATACATTTTATGTACATATACACCTGGAGGCTCTCCATTAAAACTAGTGTAGATGGGCATGCTTCACTGTATACAACCAGTCCCCTAGGTCCCCAATACAACCATTAGACTCACACTTGACTGTTCCCCAGGAGGCCCTGCCGGAGGTGTGTTTGTTGTCCGACATAAGACTTTTTATATTTTTAGCCTTGCTGTGGAGCCTCGAGGGCAGATAAGATAATGTAAATGAAAAAGGAATTCATTTAAATGCTCAAATGTTTTACCCTGCCAATATAAGCTTTGGTAACTGAGCAGGGAAGCTGCTTTTGACTTTGATCCATTATGCTAGTGTCAACTGTACTTACCGCAACAGCAGACTAGGATAAGAATGTGTCTATCTGAATAACAATAACCAACGCCGCTACAAAGGTGGATCTTATTAGGAGGGATGCCAATTAGCAGCATTTGTCAGCTTTAAAGAAAGTCTGCATATCAGCAACTTGGTGAGTTTTCATGGCGGTGAAAGAGGATGAATAAATCTCCAAAGTAAAATCCCACAGTATCTACTTTTTATACAGCTGCTTTGAGACATGAACTAAGGTCGAGGTATTTTCTAGAAAGGGGCTGTATGTGAGAACGCAAATGTCCAAGTCAGTTGCTCAGGACATTTTCTTGAACATTTGTAAAATGTCCAGAAAATATTCAAAAGAGCCCATGCCAGAATGCAGAAGTAAAATGTCCCGAGTTCAAAGTGAGCATGTGGGCGTGCTGTTGGCATTTATCTGACATTACTCAGAATGAAAAAGAAGTTCCATACATGTCGAAGAAGTAGACGAAGAAACTTGGGAAAACGAGATTCGAAAGCTTTTAACAAAAAGAGTAGATGTCCATGTCAATGTTGAATTTACACATTGGGCCCTCCCTCCTCAGCAGCACCTAATGATCTCTTGCTGCATTTTTAATATGTGAAAGGGAAACTTTTACGGAGTTCATATCCAAAAACTGCTTGATAGTACTCGACGGGTTAAAAGGTCGAGGAGTTATTGAGATTTTAAATTACACTCGGTGACTTCAAATGTGCCATTAGCAGCTTTATTGAGGGCATTAACAATAGGTTCGCTCTGGGAGGGACCATGTGACTGATGTCTTATTCATGGACAACCCCAGGAAATTAGCCAACAGTAGACACACATGACATATATTCAAAATACCTTTTGACTACAACATGAATGAGCCAATGCAACCATATTAAGCCATTTCAGAAAAACAGTTGGAGGCTCATCAGAGCTGCCCCACAACAATGTCCTCCATTAGCTGTGAGGTGACCACATGAACTCATGTGATTAATATTTCAGACCAAGCTCACTCCTCGCCCAGCACCTCTTCCTCCACCTCCATCACCTCAGCATCACATAACCTCCTGTAATTAATCATCCAGAGTTTGCAGCACACTGCCACTTCTATTTATAGCCAACCACCAAAATGTCTTTCTCTTACACATAAATACACACAAGCACACATTTGTACGTCCATACTGGCCCTGGGCAGCTAATTGATATCAAAATGTAATGGTGCTGCACTACATTTATTGGGACCTGTAGATTGTGATAAGCTGCAATATCGAAGCAGTGTTTTTTTCAGATTTCATCTTATTACATGAGCATGTTCAGGAGAAAAGACCTGGATAGTGCATGGATTTGTTTTTTTCCTGTGCAGTGGTACATCTCTATTATACACAGCAGAGTCCATATTGCCCCCACAGGGAACTAGAACATGATCCATTTTCAGCCCTCCAATCGCTCTGTTGGTATATCAACAGCTGTCGATCGCTCTATTCTCTATTCTCTCATGTACTGACCTCTCACTTTTTCTTTCTGAGCACTACCTCCATGTTTTGTTGACTAAAATGTGATTAAATCCGGCCCCACCGGGTTGTTTCGGCTCGACTTTAATCCTCACCTGACTGTTGGCTGCAGTCAGAGATGTTGCACAATTCTACCCATCAAATCTGCGTATGGCACTTTCATTCCAGAGTTTGTCATAATCCAGAATTCGCATTGATGACTGCACAGTGAAAACTCAAGATACTTTAAAAAACTGATGTACATCTGACAAGGACGATATGTCCGTGATAGATTTAAACCAACAAACACCTTTGAGATGATACAACACTGTTACAACTGTTTAAAATGGCTTCAACATACTATGACACCTGTCAATGACTCATCTTCAAGGTCAGTAATTGTCATGTACAACAAAGTCTGCCATCCAGGGTTTCTGCTCAGAAACTGAGGGCATCTGATCTTTCGCACAAAACACACCGACAAGATGAATTCAGCAGAAAGCTTCAGTCCTTCGCTTTTCAATCTTCTTCACATGTACAGTAGGTAAAGGGTAGAAAGTGAGGAAGGATTCATTTTTAACAAATCACCTCAAAAGGAACTTATCATTCAAGCAGAGCAATGCAAATGTTGCATGCTCTGTGTGCAGAATGTACTAATGCGTTCATTTCATCCTGCAGGTGTCTGTCCTGTGTAAACAGCACTTTCCGCTGCCACTGGTGTAAATACCGCAACCTGTGCACCCACGACCCGAGCAGCTGTTCTTTCCAGGAGGGAAGAGTCAACGCCTCAGAGGTACATTAACACAGAGACACTGCAGAGTCACCGTTTCATTAGCTAATTAAATTGTTGCTTTCAAGAGCACAATCTATCTTTTCCAATGTGGCACTTTTACCTTGAGGACACAATCTACAATTCAAATTTAAGATTACACTATAGCGCCGCTACAAAGAATCCACCAGAGTACTTGTATCTACATCCATGCTAGCGGCTTGTTGAGGCTTCATTTAAATGCTAATACCAGAATGCTTATATGCACCCCATAACAATGCTAACAAGCTGATGCTATGTAGACACAATGTTTAACACTTTCACTATTTTAGTATAATGTGTATGCTAATTTGCTAATTAGCACTTATCTGGGATTCTGCCTTTGAATTTGCAGAATCTGTAGGTGAGGGACAAGATTTGGGGTCCGGAAGCTTCTGGTTTCCATTTCTAGTTTGAGCAATCATGTTTGTTGCAGGCTTTGGTTCGCCAGAGGCTGACTGTAGCTGAAAACACAAACTGTGTTGAGGCTGATTTAATCATAAAACAAAGTAATAGATGAATGGAAAATTTGACCCAATGGAAGCACTAGATAAACAATCACGGGATCACCAAATCACAGTCAAGTGATACAATTGTCCTGCAAGGAATCATTAGGATCTATCCGCTAGTATAAAATTGTCTGTTTTTTTCAATGGCACTAGATTTTGAGAGGATAATTTGACCTCAGATGAGAAAAGAAGCTCAAGAATTTTATTAGAACTTGTTCTTTGGTAACCATGGATACATTTCCAAGATGTAATAGCAATCCATCATATTATTGAGATGATATTTCAGTCTGTGACGCAGTCACTGCTGTCACCATAGAGCAACGCTGCTTAAATATCACTGACTCTGCCTTTAGAAGCATTTAATTACAGGCCTACTGGAAACATGAAATTGTATCAATAATAAAATACTATCAATAAAGAAAGATGATATAAAACATTGATAAACAGTTTCAAAATATATTGCCCTTGAGGATCTAAAACAGGAAAATACAGTATATTTTCACAACAGACCACAGCCTTACATGCAGTTTACTGTAGTGGAAAGTAACATGTAGCAGATGAATGCAAATTACATTCGGATTAACAATTTATTTGCCCCATTAATCCCTGTGGTACATTAGTCCTTCATGTTTTTTCATAGCGCAGATTAGATACCAGTGTAGACATGGAGATATTGAGTATATAAATAGACAGTTATATCGATGCTATAGATATCCAGAAAGGTTATTTAAGTGCTATTTACATTAGGTATGATAGAGCAGAGATATTAAGCACAAGTAGGCGTGGGTAATATCAAACGTTGAATGACCTTTATTGTGAATGGAACAATTATTATTCTTGTGTGTTGTTTTTGTAGGACTGCCCTCAGCTCCTTCACTCTGGGGAAATTCTCATCCCGGCCGGTGAAGTCAGACCCATCACCTTGAAAGCCCGAAACCTTCCCCAGCCGCAGTCGGGCCAGCGGGGCTACGAGTGCGTGGTGCACTTGCAGGGTGTCAGCCACCGTGTCACGGCGCTGCGCTTCAACAGCACCAGCGTGCAGTGCCAGAACAGCTCGGTATGACCTCAAACAGTCCCAGTGGGAGTCTCACAACTGTCAAATGAGGCAGACATCTTGGATGCTGTGTAGGCATATAGGTATATAGGGTACATGAGTGAATACCGCCTGAGGTGTTGAGCACACTAAGGGGAAAGTAGAGGAAAGGGAAAGTGATGAGGAAAAGTGCAAAGCACAGGAGAGAAAGAAAGAGTGAGGAAAGGAAAGAAAGTGGCTAAATGGTTGGAGAGCGTGACCTCAGTGTGACTTTGTGTGGTAAGTTGGGTTAGCACCATCAACTCACAGCAAGAAGGTTCCCAATTTTTTCTTTTAGTAGTTTGCTTGTTCTCCCTTTGTCTGGTTTTCTCTGGGTTCTCCTGCTTCATCTCAAAGTCTTTGGACATGCAGAGTGGGGTTAAATTAACTGAAAACTCTAATTTACCCATAGGTGTTAATGTTAGCGTGAGTGGATGTTTGTTGTAGGTTGGCCCTGCAATTACAGACCTGTCCAAGGTGCACCTGTGGCTCTAGGTCCACCTGCGACACCTGATATAGATAATGGATGGATAGACAGACATGTAGGTGTCATAGGTTTGGGATAAATTCAGGAGATTTCGAAGGAGGAGACGTTTCAATGCAGTGCATAACTTGTTTCTCCGTGACAATGGGCAAAAAGGCCATTTTCTTCAGATGTGGATGATTGGCCACCACAGTCAGGGTTTGTGTCCCCACATGTCAGAGAGGAGAGGAGCAGACAACCATGGCAGAAATGACAGATGGTTAAAAGCTTCGTCTCTCTGCTGCACTTTCACCCCCCCCATCTCCACCCTTCTGTCTCTCCCTATCTTTTTTTTTTCTTTATCTCTTGTCTCTCTGACTTTCTTTCTTCCTGTATGCACTCTGTGCACACTCCCTCACTCTGCGTATCTGCTCTCCAGTACATGTACGAGGGTGTGAAGATCAGTGACCTGGCAGTGGACCTCTCCATCGTGTGGAACGGCAATTTCATCATCGACAATCCCGAGAAGATTAAAGGTAACTCTGCAATCCATCACTGCCAGACCAGAGGAGTGTAAAGCACTCAATCCTCAGGGGATAGGTGGGCCATAGAGAACACTTCAAGGCTCCCATATGGCCTTGAGAGAAAGTTCACAAAAGCGAGGTGTGTTATCAAAAAGCAACCAATGACGTGCTCCTGGAGGGGTGAGGGGTGAATCTTCATATTTGCTCAGTTTAGCTCTTGCTGCTGCTCTTGGACACGTCTTCATCATCAGATGTGTTTGACAGTCATCATTATGGGTTTTAGTCAAGGATTAGCACAGTGGTGGCCATAAATTTTAACAGGCCCGTCATAATTTCGTTATTTTATACGGGCATAAATAAAGGCGGCTAACATGAGAGAGGGTGTAAGAGACAGACTTCAAAGACAGGTTTATTGGATTACTTTGAAATTGTGTTGGAAGCGGAATTATGCATTTATTGAATTCACAAGGCAGAACTCTGTGGTAGAAGTCAGTTATGGGAGATAAATCTAAAATACTTAAAATATGCATTCTGATTGTTTCAGATTCAATTAGTTTATGTGTTGTATCTCTACGTTGTATTTTGTGAGCTCAATTTACTTTTATAATCTTTTAATAGGAGTGATGTCCTTCATCTTTTTAAAACATCTAAACCATTAATACTGTCATGTGAAATTACTTTGAAACGACTGACCAGATGCCCTCTGCATTATGCCACAGTGCATCTCTACAAGTGCAGTGCCCAGCGGGACAGCTGTGGCATGTGTCTGCGGGCGGAGAGGAAGTTCCAGTGCGGCTGGTGTAGCGGTGAGGGCAGATGCACCATGAAGCAGCATTGTCCTCCCATCTCCCCCTATGCAACCCGCTGGCTGGACCTCTCAGCCAGGAACGTCAAGTGCACCAACCCACGCATTACTGAGGTTTGTTGTCTGTTTGGACTGTGGCCCAGCCCACCAGTCAGTCAGTCAGTCAGTCAGTCAGTCAGTCACTTGCACCACCAAGGGCAAACATATAGTATGTTTAAATTATACAGGAGATGTATAGTTAGTTAAGAATTTAGCTTTTTGTCCAATGGAAACAAACAGTCCCCTTCAATTTTAATAAATAAAGTACACCCTCACAGACGTCAGTTCCCTGTATAAGCTGGTATAGGCCAGAGAAGAACCCATTCAATTTTGGTGCGGATCCAGATCAGGGGGTGGATCAAGGACATTTTTTGTTCACATTGTTTAACATTTAGGACAGCTGCTCATAAATGTCAAGTCGCAATCATGGTTTTTCAACTATCCATCTCTCTCTCGGAAAACCTCCAAAAAAATATCAACAACAAACACTAATTCTACTTTTCAGTTTCCTGTCTAATTGTCTGTTTACCTGAGCCTATCGTACATTTTATTGTACAGCGGCTGAATGCATTAGCGCTTGGAAGCTAAACGAACTCAGTCTGTCTAGAGCGGTGATGGATCTTTTATGTCACAAACTCGTTCGTTCTCTTGAATGAGGCACAGTGGGTCAGGAGCAGAGATGCAGGGCTCTCCCACTTCAAAGAGCCGCAAGTCTTTGATGTCGCTGTCACATTATTAGTGTTTCTGAAGGAGCTGCAGCGCAGTGAATCAACTATCAAGTGCTGCTCAGGAGTGGAGGGAGAGTGGTCCGAGCATCGCTCCTGTTCAGCTCCGCAGGTTCAGAGGTTTCCTGCTGGTTTGGTTAACTTAACACTGGAAAGGACAGTGAATAGGTTTCCCAAGGCTTTGTTATTCACTGCAGTATTCAAGTTAGTTTTGAATAACTCTGGATCTCAAGAACTTCTCAATAAACTCAGTCACTATGTGAGTTCAGAATTTCCCACACTTTCTTTGAGATGAACTCAGTGTGTACCCTAGAAGGATTTGTCCATACAGAGACGTTTATAAAAAAAACATCAACTTAGGCAACCAAGCAACAAACTGCCGACTAGAGTGGGTCCTGTTTACATCGGCACACACGACCAGTGTGTGTGAACTGTCATGTGATATGTGTTCTCAAATTAGAAGGGATGGAGATGGTTTCTGATATGGAGCTTAATCACTAATTTCGACAGAGATGTTTTCAAACTGTGCCAAGTGTTTCTAAGATGTGCTAAAACTTTAGATAGATTCTTGAAAGAAGCTAAAAACAATCAACAATCTAAAGCAAGCGCAGTTGACTTTGCATTCCATGATGCACAGTTTAAGGTTTAGATTGGTTAAACTCTTTCTACAGCTCATTATTCTCTACATCGGAAACTCTAGATGCTATTTCCTCTGACTAAAAAAATAATTGCAGTCTTTACTTTGTAGATTAAAGTAAGCATTCAGAAGCGGGTGGACTAACACCACTGTACAATACATCTTACTTCATCATTTTGCTTTTCTTTCCATTATAGGTGAGCCCAGTGGCAGGGCCTCTGGAGGGGGGCACACTGGTGACCATCCAGGGCCTGAACCTGGGTCTGTCCTTCTCTGAGCTGGAGGGTAACGTGGAGGTTGCAGGAGTGCAGTGCACCCCACAGGAGGAGGGATACATCACAGCAGAACAGTAAGAGACTCCTCCCCTCCTCTGCTCAGACACACTTGGATTCATACTCAAATATACACGATGAAATAAACACATGCAAGTTCTCTGTCTCTCTTTCACACTATTTTGATCACAGACTCAAGCTCAGTCTGTGAATAAGCCGGAGCTCAGTGATGCCTCATCAGGTTATAGTATTGTGGGAGGGGGGGCTTTGCATTGCTCTGGTGCAAGCAGAGCCAATGGAATAGACAGTCTTTGTGTCACTGTAGTTATGAGGCTGCCGGCACAGCTGTAATTGAAATGCGCTGCGTGTTGCTGACTGGAGGGACAATCGGTTAACCATGTGTTTCTCTCACAGCCATGTAATGCGATTGGGCTCAGGCTGCACAGGGACTTTATTTATATCCTTGTAAAAAAAAAAAAGAAGGGAGGGGGGGAGAAAAGAACATGCCAGCAGAAAATTGGAAAAGTCTTGTGATGTATGAATGAACAGATTGGGTAGGGACGATTCATTGGGTGCTCTTATTGTATCGGAGAGCGCACAGATTCTCGTGCGGGGCTGTGTGTTCGGCAGGGCCATTCATTTGGTGCACACAGAGCTTTAAAACATGGCATTACAGCTGTTACAGCCATTAATTTCAACATGGGGTCAGTTGCTATAATGACTTATTCATGGCACACTTTATCTTATTGACCTGACAGGCAATACTGATTCATTGAAGAAACCCCTATGTTGTCATGGCAACCGGAGGTAATGGTGGGTGGCAATCTTTCTGGAGATGGGGAGGGGTGCAGTTTATCATTTGAGTTATATTGCTGTTATAGGTTTCCCATTAGGAAGAAAGATGGGCCTCTGTATTGACCCACAACTTCTATGAAAGTCTGCCTCAATCACACTCGCCAGCAGAGGCCATCTCCCCTCCAGTGCAGTTCATAACAAATGTGATACAGTGCAGCGATTCTGCTTTGTTTGTGTGTGTGTGTGTGTGTGTGTGTGTGTGTGTCTGGCTGGTGTGATTACTTGTATGCATGATGATCTGTTGCATGCTGTGTGTTCATGTATTTGTGCGTTTTGTCTTGACAGGATTGTGTGTGAGATGGCCGTGGCTCCTACAGGAAGCGCACCAGGTCCGGTCAGGCTGTGCGTTGGTGAATGTAGACCTGAGCTCCGGGCACAGTCCTCCCAGCTCTACTCCTTCGTGGTAATGTTTGACACTGAAACAGATTTAGCTTGAAGCAAACGGAAGTGAGTTAGGCTGAAGACGTCATTGCAACCGAAAGCTAACAACCAGTTAGATCTATTAATACCGCAGCAAACATTAACTAGAGAGAAAGACAGAATCCGACACTTGATTTCTTTTTCTGTGTGCAATGTGCAGAGTGCAACCAGAGTATCTGCACATCTTTAAGTTCAAATAATGACTTTTAAGACATTTTGTAAGAATTCTAAAAGGAAAAAATAATTCTGTTACTGCCTCAAAAGAAATAGACAAACTAGACTAGAGTATACTGTAAATAGAAAGTGGGCCCTGAAGGCTTTGCTACATAGTCGTAACCGCTAAAAAGTAAAAGCAGAAAATTACTTGATGGACATTGTGCTTTTTCTAGAGCCAGCATAGTGCTTGTGCTTTTCAGAGCACATGTGCGAATGCAGTGCTTTACAGCTCTACAAAAACATTATGCGACCAAATTGGCATCTCACCTCAGCAGAAATGCTGGATTTTTTTGAGCCCATCACGGTATTTGTCATCCTCCAACCACTTCTCATTAAAATTACATTTACATTTAGTAGGCTACATGACTAGGGGGTCAGCTCGTGGTCGTTGCGTCATGGTCTTCAAGGTGAACTACTGCAACCCACTATGTGGAGTCTGGTCTACACAAAAAGACAGAAACAATGATGTGGGATATAATTTCATGTCTCCCCTCATCCAGACATTTTAGAATAACCAAAAGTTAATCTCGGTGAAATGTTAGGGACAGCAGGTTCCCCGAGTACAACATAGATTTTACATAAAGGAGCATACAACTTTTTTTTTTTGTGCTACATTAAGCTAAAGCCGAGGAAGAACGGAGCCTTTCAGAATCAGCACATTAATAAGGCTTATTGTATTCTGTGTTTGACCTGAGTTGAATGAATTCTGATTCTCCACAGATCCCTACCATGCTGGCACTGACCCCAGGCAGAGGACCTGAATCTGGGGGCACCAAAATCACCATCGTTGGGGAGAACCTGGGAGCCGGCAGCTCTGTTAATGTTTACTTTGGTAATCAGACCTGTGAGCTGTACAGGTGAGACTGAAACTAATATGACCACATGCTCTTTTAGCTGCACAGTCCTAAAGGCTCAACCTTCCCAGACACTGACGTGAGACTGTCTTCACGCCATATTAAAGATTTAGCTCCCTCTCATATCTATGAAACACAGACAGATATTGTTCTATTTTAAGAAGCACATTTAAGATACAATTAAGCATCTGTTAAATGAAAAGACTTAATGATGATTTGTCGGGAGGTGTTGTAACCCACAGCGATATGTATTGTTCACGGTGTATTTATAGATATCTCTTTAAAGTTCACGTGGTAGGAGTCAGGAGGGTGAGTCGAGGAGACCATTAGCTCCAGCACCCTCTGCTAATTACAGTGTCCCTCTCCTAATGTGTCTTTAACAAGGAGGAGATGGGACAGACTGTAATGAATCCTCTCTCCTCATGGTAGTGTGCATGGCTCTGAACTGCGTTAAGTCAGGGATTTGCCACTGCAGGAGAAAGTAGGCAGTCACATTCAAAGGCAGGAATAAATCCCTCTCTTGATTCTGCCACCAGGAGGACCGTGTCGGAGATCGTGTGCTTCTCTGCGCCGTCAGTAACCGGAGCAGGGCCAGTGCAGGTCAGTTTGAGAGTCGACCGGGCCAAAGTTCCTGGGAGTCTGGCCTTTGAGTACATAGAGGATCCGACGGTGCAGCGCATTGAACCCCTGTGGAGCATTACCAGGTAACAATGAGCCAATTAGTCTCAAGTATAAGCAAATACCAGCCCGATACTCTGGATTTTCTGTTTGGAGTTTGCAACTTAAAGGAGACATATTCTGTTCAAATTCAGGTTTATGATTTAAATTTGGGTTATTACTTGATTCAAATGCTCTAACACGTCACTTTCCTCGTACTGTCCATTGCTGCAGCTCCTCTTTTCAGCCTCTGTCTGAAACGCTGGATTTTAGCTCCTGTCTCTTTAAGGCCCCCCTCCTGATAAAGCCCACTCTGTTGTGATTGGTCAACTGATCTGAGCATCCATTCTTGCTTCATCCGGCTTTGGTAGGGACATGCCAGACTAGCCGCTAAGCGTATATTATGGAAATGTGGGGAAGCATGATGTCATGTTACAATTCCCCGGAAGCAGAATTTGGGCTTTTCAACTTTGCAGAACTTTTATATAAACAAAAAAAATGTATAGCACATGAGAGGAAAGAAAACATGAAAATGCACAATATGTCTCCTTTAATAGTTTTGTTGGGATCACGTTCCTTTACACAATCCACAGTCATCAAAACTTTAGGGCTTAATTCATAAAACCTGCGAGTATGCTTTACATTCCAGTGTCACATACAGGTTAAAAAAGCATCATGCACAAGTTTAAAATCTATATTTCTATGAAGTTAACATCGTAATATACAATGCATAGTAATTTAGCAGTGAAAAATCAAATATTTCTTAAATGGCTGCCTGGTACACATTAGTATGATAGCAGACAATCATGTAGATTAGCTCGGTTGTCAGGGTCACATGGAGAGCGATGCGGAGAACTCAGGTGTTGTCAGTTAGATTAGATATCATTATTTAACAACCTTGCACCGTGATCACAAGAGGATGACTCTTGTACATAAATGGAAATCATGTTCCATTTAATTGAAATTCTCTTCACCGATTTTACACGAAACAGCGCGATGCCGCAGGTATTACACAATGACAGCCAAGTCGCCGTATAAGCATCTCCATCGCAGCTGAATGGTGTGTTACCTGTATTCCACCGAATTAATGAAGGCACTTATTTTGGGCTCGGGCAGCCAGCACCACGTCCCTGCAGATTAGACTTCAGAGAGACACCCTGGCCCTCAGCCTGGTGACAGGAGCAGCTTTGTGGAGCTGCAATCAAGAGCCTTCATCATGAATGTGCCGTCCCACTATGTGGCCCTACAAGCTTAGGTAGTCTTTGAAGTATGAGAGGAGAAGGACTGGCACTCTGTCAGGCTCATAGACCGGACATTTTTTAATGAAACTGATTTCACCCTCCTTCTTTTTTTCCTTTTATTTTTCTCCTCTACCTTTTTCTACTCGTCACTTCGCTCTGCTGTTCTCTGAGCTGAAAGTGCTGCACAGGTTATGCAAAAGATTAGAGAGTGTTGTTCATTTTAATCACATCTAGCGCGGGTATGTAAACAAGCAGCACCTGTATTCATGCTACGCCAGCCTCACAGTCATGGATGAATATAAAATAGCAGCCAGCTGGTTCGCCGTTTGATCTGGCTCTGCTGCCCAATAACAAAGAGCGAGCTACCCCCCCCAAGCTATGTCTCCTCCAGCCCACATCAGAGCAGCTTCTGTGGAAAACGTTGGGTGTGCGAGATCGCAAGGTTGATCTCTAAGCGGTCATCGCTCCAATTAAATCTCAATGGAGAGAAAGTTTGCATTCCTGCCCAGTCTACACGGAGAGTGATGTGTTTGACTGGTAATTCTTCTAAACATTTCTCTCTTCCCACCAGTGGACACACCACCCTGACGGTGACTGGGACCAACTTGGATGTTGTTCAGGAACCGCGAGTCCGGGTCAAATATGCCGGCCACGAATCTGTGAATGTGAGTGTGACGATTTACTGCACTTACTCCTTCATTGATGTTGTTAACTCAAGCTGATAGAAAACAGCAGAGTAAGACAGATCTTTATTGATAGTTTGCTTGGAGGGTAACAAGGTAGATTTGGCATTGAGGTCAGTTTACTACTTTTTATTTTCACATGCCTTAATGTTGCTCTAAGCATTTACATTGTTTTTTTACATAAAGGTATATATTTGTAAGCTCCTGGTGAGGTGACAGATTGTTATTTGAGCGCTCACTTTTGTAAATCACTGATCTGCCAATGTCAGGACGAACAGCAAATCAGTTAACTAGATTGAAATACGACAGCCCAGTCTAATAGTCGTAAAAATTTAATTTGAGACGATGTTAAAAAGAAAAAAGAAAGTGATAAATATTTCCTGGACTGGTTTTGGTGGATCCAAAATGTCCCATCCTTCCACCAATTTTCCATTTTGTACTTTTTGCACAATGCTACCAACAAACATAAGTAACTGACTAACCAACACAACCAACCAGCCAAACACCCAACCAAGAAACAGACAGGGGTGAAAACTGCTTTAGTCTCGAGGTTTGAAAGACCAGGGCATATCAGATCGTTCTTTCAAAAAAGAGATTTTAAAAATTGGCTTTATAAAGATGCTTTATCGTGCTGATTCAACTTCCCTGAGCTCCTGGGAAAGATCACTTCAGTGTGATTGATGGATACAGAAGTGTTCGGACCCTGATGGCAACAGTCCTTTCACCTTAAGCCCCAAGTTTTCCCACTTTGGACCAGTCTCAGAATCGCCTGAGGATGTGAGATTTAAACTTTTGGCTTGACCTTCAAAAGAGCTCAAAATACAAATATAAAAATCTATTCTAAAAAGGTAGCTAGTGAAGAGATGCCAAAAAATGAAATGATGCATTTGTTTGTTTCTCTACTACCAAATATAGATTTTAAAGTCAATTTTTATTGATGTTGAAATAGAGACAGAACGCAGGGTGAATGTGATATAAAGGAGTTTATGGCCTCTTCTAGGCCCGTGAATTATATTTACAGTTTCAGTTTAGGAAATTGTATGTGAAACAACAGTATCAGCTTCTGAGCTTGACCTCAACTTTTCTGCCCTTCATTTGTGCCTTGAAGGATTTGAGTCTGAATTGTTGGCAGAGCAGAAAAAATAAATGTAAGTTAAGATAATAATGTGCAAGTGGAAGCATGTCAAAGCAAAATAAGATGAGTAAACTTTAAATATGTCGAAGAGCAGGAGTGTTTTATGTAGACAATGATGTGTGTGAGAGTTGTGCCTTGAGCCAGTGAAACAGTTTGTGAATGATGGCAGCCAGAATCTTAGCCGGTCAATTAAAGCTGCATGTTCCTCAGTGTTGCTGGAAGAACTGAGATTTAAAGGGATTAAAGCCGAACTTTCACCCAAATCAGCTGCTCAAAGAGGGTCATTGGTAAATTTAATGAGGGCAGTCTCTTTATCGTGCTCATCTCCAAAACATAACTGGATCTCCTTAAAATGTTTGGAATCACAAAAGCAGTTAATTGACTTGAAACAGTTCTTTAAAACCTTAGATAAAAGCGGAAGCTTAGAAATTTTGCCTGGAATCGGTGGAGGTTAAGAGAGGAGCTCGACGACGAGGAGCTTGAAGACTGCAGAATAAAAAACAGTAAAAAGAAAGTTGTTGGTTGTGGATATAGAGCCCATGAATAATAACAGAGAAAGGCCTGTTTTATGTTTCTGAGCCATATCAAGGGAGTGATTGGTTTTGAATGAGATACAGTGGATATTTGCAAAACTTTTTATCAAAACAGATAAAAACTTTCCCTTTTTACACAAGACCATAAATCAGACCCATACATGTACAGGCATGTGAGAACACACATGAACTTATGGATTGAAGGAAATAATAAAATGCTACAAATACTGAAACATTTTGATCTCACATTTTGCACAGAGCCTCTAATTTACAATTTTAATGTTAACATCCGTCCTGATGTGAAGGACCGTCTACTCAAATGCTGCCCCTGACCCGCTGCAGTTCCACAAAGAACGTATTCTTGGTCTTATCGATGCTCATTTCTTGATTTGTTTATATCAACACTGTTGATATCACCGTTTTCCCACAAAGCACCACACCTCTAATTTTGTCATCTAACCCAATTTGTTGATGTAACGGTTACCAGACCAGTGAAGAAGTCACTGCTCTCTGCCATCTTTTCAGTGACGTCCTCTTTGTCAAGAATCTTCTTCTCTGTTGTCACGACTAAAACAGTGAAAATATGATATTTCAAGGACTTTTACTAGATTCTCCTTGAGAATGTCCTGATATTGTCAGAGTGAGACTCTGAGGAGGTGACCTGTTGTGAAGTGAAATTAAGTTTTTCTTCATGATAAAGTTTGACTAATTATTCAAATAGTAATGAGAAATCATAGATAGAAATCTCAATTTTCTCTGAAATAATTTCACATGCAGTCATAATTTGTTATTATTCATTTGATTTATTATTTATCATAACTTCCTTCAGTTCAATCAATTTTGTGTATTTAATTAATTCATTAATTTGTTACCTCATTCATTCCAAAAATGAATTTAGCCCCACCTTTCTCTCTCTCTTTATCTCTGACTAACACACACACAAAAACACATCGACAACGAATGTCTATAAACTCAGACTATAGGTAACGACAACACTATTGGCTCTTTGCAAAAAGAAATAACGTACGTGTTTATTTGCATATAAAGTGGGGAAGTGAGATCAGAATACGAGTGATCACAGGAGACACATTCAGGACACATTTCAATGCCAGGTGTGAACAGATGACTACACACTGTCCACTTGTGATCGGATCTCTCAGGACAGATGTTACCGGGTCTAAAAATGGCCTAAATGGCTTTGTTGATTCATAATGTTGACTATGTTTAAGAATGTTAAAAATGCTAAGGAGACATTAATTTATTTAATATTTACATGAAGAGAAATTACCAGTTTTCCAGAAGATTTAAATATTTTTCAAATCAGAATAACTGTTAACAAAAGGTTTTCTCAGGGTAAAATAATGATGCTGGGGGAAATTTTCACTGGGGACAGACAGTGGACATTTAGGTCTGCATGCAATGGGGACATGTGTAACTCATTCATTTGATCTGATTTCTCTCCAGGTTTGCAAAGTGTTGAACACGACCACCATCAGCTGCTTCGCTCCCTCCCTGAAGGCCGAGTTCACCGCCGACCAGGAGACGATCAAACAAGTGGACGAGTTTGGCTTCGTCTTCAACAACGTCCAAGCTCTGCTCACGTACAACAACACAAGCTTCGTCTACTATCCCAACCCGTACCTGGAGCCCCTCAGCCTGTCGGGGGTTCTGGAGCAGAAACCTGGCGCTCCCATCATACTCAAAGTGAGTTAGAGGAAATCTGACCTGCTGCTGGTTCCACACTTTCTATTTTTATGTCCCTGCAGTTGATAGAGGGAATACTTTCAGGCCAATAAGTATTTGGCATCAACAACATGGATGCTGGATGTGCAGTATGTGACATAAAGTATTCATCAGCCTTGGTTAATGTCATCTTCGCCATGTCCTCATTTCTATAATCTCCCACTGTTCCTTCAATAATCAGTGCGGTCGAATCTGGTCAGATTCTCCACAACATCCTAACGTCATGATGAAGTAATTATATAAATATAAATAACCTTTTTGAGCCGCGTGGACCGTGAAGGCCAAACTAAAATGAGACCATCAGCGTCAGCAGCTTGTCCTGTCCTGCCCTTACTGTTGTCGCCTAGCAACAGAGATGCAACTGAGACTGTGTTCATGCCCCTTGGTTTTTGAACATGTGGGCTGTTAGCTAGAAGTTTTGGTTTTGTGGCTTGCAGCTGCCATTTTTTCGCATGACATTCCCTGTGAAGTCATGTACTTCCTCTCAGTAAGACTACATGGCTACTTTTTGTAGTTTCTGAACAGCCATAATCTGTAGCTCAGTTTGCTGTGGAGGAAGAGCACATTGCATATTGACTTCTATCTAGAAACAACCTGCCTTTCTTTGGTAAAATAATTACGCAGATTCCCTGCAGAATATGACTCAAAGACTCAGTGTAGCATGCATACCGGGAAGTGGCTGCAAGTCATTATAGTCATTATGCTAATGACTCAGAAATTGCATGGTAATAATTCATTGAGGTTAAACTGGTCCTAATATGATCAGTAAGACTCTAACACAGATTTGTTTAGTAACCAACAGAAAAAGTCCAAAAGGGGTAAAAGAACTCTGACGTTTTGAAAGCAGACTAGTTTAGCACAGAAGTTGCTAAACAAGTTTAACTTGAAATGTATTTTAGCTGCGATTTATTCTTTGTTTTCTGCATTTAAGCATCTTGTCTCGCTCTCTCTGTTTCAGGGACGTAACCTGGTGCCTTCAGCGTCTGGTGGAGCCAGGCTGAATTACACAGTGCTGATCGGGGATACGCCCTGTTCTCTCACTGTGTCCGACACTCAGTTACTCTGTGAACCACCAAACCTCACCGGGCAGCACAAAGTCCTGGTCAGTCTGATGCCTTTTCTGCCTTTCTGCTTTTGTCTCTGTCTGTCTGCCAGCGCATCTGATTTGCTGTCTGCGTGGATGTGGGTCAGGGTTTGTCTGTACGTCACTGTGTTTGTGGGTCACTGACAGGCTTTCACTTAGTCACAGTCTCTCTGTCTTTGTCTGTCACTCATGGTCTGGTAGGTTCCCAATTACAGCACATTGCCCCACAGATTTATTCACAGCCACTCTTGCAAATAATGAGAAAAAAGCTTGAAAAATGAAACTAAGCTGGTGTGCTGGGAACTTGTTTTATTCAAAGGCAGTTGCCTTGGAAAATTATCCATAAATCCTTGGAGGTCGGACAATTTAATTCCTCATCCACAATGTTTTGATGTTTTTTGTGAATTTTCAACAGTTTCCGTGGTTTTTTCTTTTAATAATCATCCAGGTCCAAGTAGGAGGACTCCACATCTCACCCGGGGAAGTTCACATCCGCTCCGACAGCCTTCTCACGCTTCCTGCCATCTTCAGCATCACAGCTGGAGGAGGCCTGCTCCTCATCATCGTCATCATCGTCCTGCTGGCCTACAGACGCAAGTCTCACGAGAACGACCTGACTTTAAAACGGCTGCAGATGCAGATGGACAATCTGGAGTCCCGGGTGGCTCTCGAGTGCAAGGAAGGTGAGTGAGTGAGGCTGGTTATAAATCCCATTGATTAAAACTCCAAAAGAGCATCTGATTCGTAATCACATTACTGCACCATCTGCTGAGGACTAATGTTTCCACTGATGAATGTGGTGGCTTTGTTTGTGAAGTGATTTAGTTGAATAATGATTTATTTGCCAACATGCATCAGGTGGGGGAGTAATTGACTAGTTGAATGGTCATTAAAGATAGAAACTTCTTGGGAAGCCATTTAAAAGCTCTAATCTTGTTTGGTATTATTTATAAATTTTGTAAAGATTGTATTAAAGTAAGTAAGTACATAGTTAAGTAATAACACAACGAAGCTTGTCACTTCACTACAGCCCAACTGATATGGATTATTGGGAAATTATTCATTATGTTTCTGTAAAATAAAACATTACGCAGCCAAACTGTTTTTCTATTTATATCTATAAAGTCTCATTATTAATGAACCGAACATCATTACGTGAGATTTCTTATAGAAATGTGAGGGTCCACTCTCTTTAAATCTTAAACAATGTATATTGGAAAACCTCAGTAACAGAACAAATAATGAGCTGTTAAGAAAACCGATATTTAAAAGTGCTAAATATAAAACATATATATATTGTTATTAATATATAGTTTATATTGTATATTATATACAATATTTAACACACTTCTCTATCATATGCAGCGTTTGCAGAACTACAGACGGACATCAACGAGTTAACCAGCGATCTGGACAGAGCTGGCATCCCATACCTGGACTATCGAACTTATGCCATGAGGGTTCTCTTCCCCGGCATCGATGATCACCCTGTGCTCAGAGAGCTGGAGGTGAGAGGCCCCTGGAGCAGAGCTGCAACACTTGAATCCAGTTTCAACTATTTTTCTGACGTCTTGACCTTCGGGCTCCAGTATACTCCAAAGCTAGATTGATTTTGGCTCCTTGTTCAAGTGCTGTCAAACTGTTGTCGAAGTCAGCGGTGTGAGCAAATGTCAGTCTACTCACTTCAGCTCGAGGTCTGTTTGTGTAGCGGTGTTCACAGCAGATGAGGTTTGAGAGGAGATTTAGCTGCTTCGCTCTGCGCCTTAGTGACGCACCTGTTCTGACTCAAACTTTTCTCTGTGGTTGTTTTTCGACCCTGTGCAAAACTAAATACTAAACATTTCAAAGATGTGATTTCTCTACACTAGATCCCACTTGCTGGATACAGAACATTAAATGCGTTTAAAACGTTTTAGTCAACAGCTTCTTCAGATAAAGACCATAGACATAAAAAGATAGATGTAATAACAACTGCCCAAAAGTCATCTAGATCACCCCCCTGGTGGCTGGCTGCAGTATAGGTCATAAATCCCGACTCACGCATGTTAGTAAAGGGGACATGAACCAAACTAAAAAGTGCATGATGAATGTTTCTGTTGGGTAGTTCTTATCACACGGATTTTTGTTCAAGTGTTAATTTTTCCAGTAAGTTAATTGGCTATGTGATGCTATGAAACGATTGGTCAAGCGTGTTAACTGGTGAGATCTCGATACCGCAGCACCACACTTTATACCGCGCAGTCTCTAGCTCCAAATCATTACAAGTTCCAGGTATTTTTATTATTCATGTGGCGCAATGAGGTGTACAGCCGACAGTATAACATGCGGTCAAACCACATAATAACACACATCGACAAATGCAAACCTCTATCAGTCATTTAAAATGGCAAATGGGAAAAGGGATGAATGACTCTAGATTTATTAGTTCTGCATCTTGGAAGATTGATCCTATGGCAAGCAACAGCAAATACTCACTCCCACTGGCTGGTGGGAGGAAGTGAAGATGGGTCATCCATCTTTATATGGATTAAACATGTCTTTGAAAGTATTTAAAACCTTGACTGTCCTCATTCTACAACTTTCTCTGTGGAAAATTTACAAGAGGATGCTTATATATTAATATGTAAATTCTTTAATATGTAAAACATTTTATCAGTTGGATATTGAAAGATGCAGTAGAAATCTACTGCATGTATCAGTTGGATATGAAGACAGCCTCCAGGTGTTTTGGTTTATTTGTATTCTTTTTGTCTTGAAGACGTTTTGTTCTGTATTGATCTTGTTGTCATCCACATCTTAATGCCCAAGGACCTCCTCTTATCTCAAGAGAACTTTACTTTAAATGTTTTGTTATTGTCCTGATCTTAAGGATTTAAAGGCTGAAGCTCCTAATTTTGAAGTAACTCTGACAAACCGCTTGCTTTTTCATTATATATAACAACTCCATGTACTCAAGGTCAAAACTGGGTACGATCAACCAGTTATTGTCGGTTTATTGTGGTCACAGTGATTTCAAAGGATCTCTGTTCAAAAGAGCCTTTTGAGTGAAGATAAAACATCGTGACTTCATTTTGCACGTCACTGCTGCTGAAGTCTGTAGCCACAGTAGTGGTTTTGTTTTGGGCAGCGTTTATGATCATTTTTGTTTTCTCATGTCTTTATGTTCCTCCATCTAAGTTATGACTTTTGTTCTCCTCCAGTGATTATTTTCTAATGCGCGTGTGCGTCTTTGTTTGTGTGCAAAAACGCGTGATGCGTGTAGGTGCCGGGGAGCGGACAGGCGAATGTGGAAAAAGCCTTGAAGCAGTTCGCTCAGCTGTTGAATAACAAGGTCTTCCTGCTGACATTCATCCGCACACTGGAGCTGCAGCGCTCGTTCTCCATGCGTGACCGCGGCTACGTCGCCTCGCTCATCATGACCGCTCTGCAGGGACGGCTGGAGTACGCCACAGACATCCTCAAACACCTGCTGTCAGACCTGATAGAACGCAACCTGGAGAGCAAGAACCACCCCAAACTGCTTCTCCGCAGGTACACCAAGTCACTCACTGTCACAGATTCATTATAAAAAGCCAGTTATACATAAAAAAGAAAAAATATATATATTTAAATATCTAGGAATTTAATTTCCTGCCAGTTCTTTACAAGTTGAAATAAAAATTATTAGAATTATATAAATGTGAGGGAAAATATTGCCAAAATAAGGAGCATCAAATTAAATCATATTGAAATGGTCCTGTTCCACTAGCCTTGTGGTTAAACTAGAGACATTTCAGTGTAAGGTAATATGTGCATCTTAAGGACCCAAGGAAGTGCAGTGTCGAATTTAAGGCGATTAGGACACGTGATATGTTCAATATTAAAAGACTTTGAATAAACAGATGACCAGCGCTCTGCAGAAGCTGCAGCTCAAACTCATCAAAGCCAGTGACGACAATGGGTGTATTTCATGGCGACAACAGCTGATTCTCCGTTCGGGGTTCAAAGTACTGAGTTAACCAATTTTGAATAGAAGGGTGAACAGCTCTGTGGAGCAGCTTCAGGTTTCTGTGGACTGAGTCCTGCAGCTCGTCTTTAGTTGCTGAGGCTCAATTACTGCCGGTCACTTTTACAGTTACAGAAAAAAACTGCAGGCGAAAAAACAGCCCATTCCAAACAGGCGAGTTTAGCCACTTATCTCCCTTAAATTCAAATACTTTGAAAGAGGTTTTAAAAATCATAGTTAGAGTCTTTCAAATTGTTGTAACAGTCAACTTATTTTCTACTGTTGTCAGAGGATTAAACTAGTGGCTCCTCTGTCACAAGCCTGACGGGTTCTGATCAGCGCCACTTATCTTTTGGCATCGATAATTCCTCTGTGCATTGTTCTTTCCGGCCCAGTCGATGGATGAGTAACTAGGCCAGCGAAGGAAAGCCCACCTCTGCTTTGTTTTGTGCAGCGGCGTGAAACAGCCGTTACGAGTGTGAGAAACAGGGTGCCTGAGCAGACAGGTGAAAGACAGGAGCAGTAAAAGTGATAGAGAGTGGGAGAGACTACCAGAGGAAGAGAACCTAATGGGGACGAGTGAGTGCAGCGGCGGCAGAGCTGTTGTCAGTCTGACTTATCTTCTGTGTGCCACTCATGAAACATTCAGCTGTAGCTCACGTTTCTTTCCCCGTCACCTCTCATCTCCTCCCTTCTCTCGCCTCTCTCCTCCACCTCTGGTTATCTGCTGATTGTTTTCCCAGTGCTGAGACTGGCCTATTGAATGTTTCATGAGGTTTTTTTTTCTTTGTAAAAAAATGAGGGCTCTCTCAATCTGAAGCACACTCATTAAATATAAGGATGCATTCACAGGGGAGCCAGTGCAACAAGACGTTGTTAGCCCAAACACGCTGCTCATGCAGAAACGCTCTAAAATTTCATCGGAAGCCGTCAATAGTGGAGTCAGTACAGGTTTAGGTTGAAGTGAAGGTAAAGATGGAAAAGGAGCGACAGAGAGACAGCAGGTTTGGGAGGAGGGAGAGCGAGTGGCTGTAATGCTCCAGGCTTTCTATCAGACTCAGATTAAAAGGGGCTTATATTCGGTTTTAAAGGTACCGTTACATGATTTGAGGGATTTACTACAGTAAATCATAAAATCTTCCCATCTGGACTCAACGCAAACGCTGCTAAGTGCAAGAATGAAGAAACAGAGCAGAAGTGGACCTCTGAGTTCTGAAAATTCATGTCATGACCCAAATACGTTGTGCACCAGCAGCACTTTACTACAGTATATATCAGAGCGCGCGTCCTTTGGGACCGTGCGAAGGATGTAATTCTCTGTAAACTCTCCATGTCATGTTTTTCTGGCTCTGACAATATCAGGCTCTTCTACATCTTAAATTATAAAAGAATAATCAGAGCACTCCGGCTCTCTGTGGGACGCCTCTTGCTAACAAATGAGATTTTCTTCCTCTTGTCTTGCAGAACAGAGTCGGTGGCAGAGAAGATGCTGACAAATTGGTTTGCCTTCCTGCTTCACAAATTTCTCAAGGTAAAAAAATAACCTTTCTCGCACCTTATCGCTACAGGTGTCAACGTGATATACACTGGCAGGATTCTTCAAATGGAGAGTGCCGATTGTGAAACAGACTGCTGTGGTCGTAACGCTCTAATACCGATCTGTATTATGGACACTGGAGGGATAATGGCTACCTGTAGGGCCACACATATCTCCAAGCTTTGCAATTGAGAAGGAGAGAAAGCGCCATTTTATTAGGTTTGATGTGTCACGCTCTAGTTGCCTAGAGTCTCATCGTCTCTGCGCTGACGAATACAGATCACGTTCCTTCCTCCTCTTCTTTCCTATGTCTGATTTTCCTTTCTCCCACCTTCCCCTCTAATCCCTGGGTTTTCTTCCAAAACAAAGGAGTGTGCTGGCGAGCCTCTCTTCATGCTGTTCTGTGCCATCAAACAGCAAATGGAGAAGGGACCCATCGACTCCATCACTGGAGAAGCGCGCTATTCCCTCAGTGAGGACAAGCTCATCCGACAGCAGATCGAATACAAGACACTGGTGAGTCATAAAGGCATCAATAAAAACTAAAAAAAGTTTAGTCTGCATTCACTTTTGTTCATCTCTTGGCAAAGAGCCTCAACAGAGACATAGAAATGTGGCATGTGTGGTTGTAGATTTACAAATCCTTTGAATCCTTTTATTTTTGCATACCTGGATATTTATTTCATGACACTCAGAAAGTGTGGACACAAGTTTAACACCAACTTTAGATCCCTATTCGCTGCTTATACGACCTAGTGTCTTCGCCTAGTTTAAATAGGAGGTCATAATAAATGGAGGCTCACGCTATCACCTCAAGTTGATCTATGCACTAACATCCCAGATAATCAGAGGGAGCCTCTAGTGGAGAGACGAGGATCCCGCACTGGCTTCCCCACAATTACAATCACTTTTGCATCCCCCCCCCCAAAAAAAATGCACCAGAATTCTCAGTGACATTTCAACATGTGGACACAAGGAGACAGATGTTAAACCAGCAAACCTAGATTAATTGTCGGCCTCTACAGTATTTTGAAGACGTCATCAACACGCCCGCTCGCTCGCTGAGGAAAAACTGGAGAATAACCAGAGCGACTGATCCCAGCATTTGCGATCAAACTGCGGATAATTTGAAACTAGAGGGAAACTTTTTTATTAAACACCTAAACACCCAAGATTCATACATATCAACAGATAAATATATTCAAGAGTACTGAGGCTTTTAAATTCGGACTGGTCCATGGGCACTGAAGAGTTTGAAATGCGTCTCATGGTAGGGGCTCTTACAACAGCCCATCAGGATAACGTCCCCCCACAGGCCTCAGCTCCGAAGCAGAGCCAGCCACCACCAGCACGACACCTCTCTGATCACCACGTCAGAATCTCTGAGAGTCCGCATCTCATCACTTGTTTAATACCCCTTCCAGAGCTGCACAGCCACGCTTCTGGTGAAGCTCCTCTCCACCAGGACAGTTTGGTGAGGAGTAAGTAATGAAAGGGTTTTCCTAGTTTCTCTCTTCCTGACTCTCACCTGCCTCCCCCGCTTCCCCCTGTCTCTCCCTCTTTACCGGATCCCCAGACGCTCAGCTGTGTGAACCCAGACAATGAGAACAGCCCAGAAATCCCTGTCAAGGTGCTCAACTGTGACACCATCACCCAGGTAAAGGAGAAGATCCTGGATGCGGTGTACAAGAACATGCCTTACTCACAGCGACCGCGAGCCGCAGACATGGATCTGGGTGAGTCTTCATCGAGTGGAGTCATACAAACTACTTGTTTTATTCTGCTTGTATTATACAGTCCAATGTGAGATAAAACATGCAGGGAAAATTTGCCTCTGCACATGATCTGTTGGAATAATGACGAGAGGGAAATATACACTTGAGAGTGGGCATGTCAGATGTTCCATTGAAGACGTGTGACACCAACAAAGGGCTCAGCATCAATTTCTGAAAAACCACCTGCTTCCTGTACCTGTTTACAGCCACGGCAACACTGCAACACTGACATTAAACCGTACCGACAGCGCACCTACACGCAGGCTTACGCCCACAACATGTCATCCAATACCCAACGACTCGGCACAGGTTGACATGCACCTTCAAACGGGGAATAAGATACCTTTTAAGAAGTGGATGATGTTGCTTTAGGTTTCTAGTTTTCTAGCTTGAGGGACCTTTAAAGGTTAAGGATGTGGAGAGGATGAGTTTCTCCTTGTTGCTTTGGGCATTTTGAATCCGTGTGAAGACACCGTGTCATTTTTAGTTTGTTAGCAGAATAACAAACACTTTAATTGTCGAGCAGAAATGCGCAGGATGGTGTCTTGGTGACATTTCAAAGATCAAAGTGACACCGCCCAAAATGATAACATGACCTCATCCGCAGCAGAAACATGGACAGCGCAAGAAGAACAATGGACATTAGACCACATGTAACTGTCAGACGCTTGGCATACACACAATCCCCCCGAAATGCCATTTGTCACACATTCACTATTCATGTTATTTTCCTGCAGAGTGGCGGCAGGGCAGAACGGCTCGTGTGGTCCTCCAGGATGAGGACATCACCACCAAGATAGAGAGCGACTGGAAGAGGCTCAACACACTCATGCACTACCAGGTCTGTAAAACACATTCATACCAGGGATACAGCTATTACTGTCAGTTCATCTGCTGGTTTGTTTTCTTGATTAGTTGGGAAAATATTTAAATAAAAAATAAATCCCACCATGGAGTCATATTTAAATTGACGGTTTTGTCCAAAGATATTCAGTTTACAATGAAAAACTACAGCTCCTATGGATTTGCGAGGTCTGATGCGGCTATCAGGGAATAAAACATTTCTGATAAAGATATATAACAGCTGTTGTATATTGGCAATGATTCCTAAGATATTATTATAAAGCCTGTATGACAAAGAAACAAAACTGAGGCTTGATATTTAACAATTAAATAGAACAAAATGCTTGAATTCATTAAAATAAACACATTTTTTACATCTATTTAAACACAAATCCACATCTTTTCTTTATTTCTCATTCTATGAAATAAAACGTTTCCTATCAGCAAACAAATGCAGATGCCAATATTTCTGTGAAAGGCTTATATTGGCTGATTTGATCAATTTATATAATATTTTTGTCGGGCTGTAGAAAAAAAACCAGACAAAAATATTTACATTTAAGAAGTTGGTACCAGCTCATGTTTGGCACTTTACTTTGACTCCGACAACAAAATATCAGCAGAAACGTATCCTCTGTGAGCCTGCCAGTCGTTTCAGCTCTACTAAAAAGTGAGTGTCAAACGCTGCTGCACCCTCACACCCGCAAACCCTAAATCTTTCTCAACCTATTTGAAAAACTCTGCCTATCCAGTTGCTCAAGGGCGTCAAAGCAGATTCTGTTGATGAAGGACGGAGTGTTTCTCATTCATATTCATATCACTCACCTCACCCCTGCCTACATTTCTTCCTCTAACTCCCAGTCACAAACGGAACATGCTCTTGTGCCTGTGTCTTCTCCGGCATCTTTTCTCCCCCTGCTCATTATTACGACAATACAGGTCACCGACCTCAGATGAGTCAGGCTGTTCCTTTGTCAGACATGTTTGTCTCCACAGAAACAACAGCTCTGGAAACTTGTACAAACAAGGCAGGAAATAAAGACACAAGAAAACTGTGTTTTCTGCACTAAAAGCAGGTTTTGACAAGAGAGGGATATACAACCTTGTATCTGTCAAGGAGTTTTGCTCTTTCATTGCCAGGTGTGGAAATGTTTGTTTGGTTTTTACACTGGATTTGTATTAGTCACATTTGTGGCTTATGCAAAACAGTAGCGTGAATGATGCTCATTTAGAAAATGTTGCATCGTCTGCAGAGAAGCAGATCAACAGTCTATAGTTGCAATAGGTTGGCTGGCCTCTGTAACTTTGACACATTCAGTGGTTAGTGAACTACACATGAGAAACTCATTTTAACACAAGTAGTGTAAGTCTCATCTCCACAAAAAGACAGTGTTGGGTTTCAGCAGGCTAATGCACGCTTTAATCTGCACTGAGAAGAATTATGAATTCATTTAGTTTCACTGAAATTGTCTCTGTTAGTAACAAGTCACTGAATCCTAAACGAGGAGAAGGAGCTGCCGCTCTGTGGTAAAAACCTAGTTTCATTCCTACACTCCGACTGCATTAGGCTGAATTATACTGCAGCGAAGAAGATTGCTGCTTTTTCCACTGACAAAATCTTATTAGGTTTGGTCCTATTCTGTAGTTGAAGCTGTTGTGATCCGTGTTGTTCTGCCTTTATTTCTGTCATAATGGATTTATACAGAATGTTTTACTTGAATTTATTGTAAAGTCTTTGGACTGAACCGGCGGACATTCAAAACCTCTTTTGGGTCCTTGGATCTCAATCTAGAGCTATTTTTTTATTCCTGTAATGATTAATTTTGACCATGAGCCTCAAGCTACGAATTAATAAAATAAATTATAGACCGGCTTTACCTTTGTCTCCTCAGGTGTCTGAGCGCTGTGTAGTGGCCTTGGTGCCCAAACAGATGTCTTCTTTCAACATCCCCTCCTCAGCCAGCTTCCCACGCAGCATCAGCAGATACGGTCAGTTCTGTTTAAGAAATACAGATACTTAATATTCCTCCGACACACAGCAGAGCTGCACCATCTGTTGCTGCCACTCATCAGTTTGCTGTAAAGCACATCATCACATAGTCGCACGTTAAACAAAGAGATGCAACATCAATACAGTGCAAATTCTGTCTGAAGCCTGAGGTTACTGCACCTTTCTTCAAACATGTGCTATCTGAAATATTTCACCCTGAAGTGTGTGTTTATGTTCTGTTAGCGACATTAAATACAATCTTATCACTTTGGATTCACAAACATTTCATCCCTGGATGATTCGATGTGTAATTTAAACCACCTCAATATACTGCAACTCACAGTCGAGGTTGAAGTGATTGATGACCCAAGTGAAAACAAAGACGCATATTTGATATCACACAGGACGAGCAGGAAAAGGGCACACAGTAACATTACTATGGCAACCAGTTAAATAATGAACACACACATCCAAACTGCACATATGTAGAAGGTTTCTCACTCTGTTTACAATCTGCCTTCAGGACATTTTAAAACGTATTTCTTTTATATCTCAAATTTGACCACGTAGGTGTGGACGTACCCTTCCGCTCCACCCCAACCAGTCCCGACAGCCCCCACTCCCGTGTGCCCATGCTGACCCCTGACATGGAGAGTGGCGTCAAAGTTTGGCACTTGGTTAAGAACCACGACCACGGCGACCAGAAAGAGGGAGAGCGCGGCAGCAAGATGGTGTCTGAGATCTACCTGACGAGGCTGCTCGCAACAAAGGTGCGATATATTATATCGAGAGAATTGTAAAAAACAATGACATAAAGGAAGACAACATCATGTGCTGAAATAAATGGTGCAATGGTGTAATTTCAGCACTTTGTAACGGTGAATTTTAGTTTTCTGCAAACACAGAGCAGAAGAACTATGAGTCCTTACTTCTGTTGCTTTTTTTCCACAGGGCACTCTGCAGAAGTTTGTGGACGACCTGTTTGAGACCCTGTTCAGCACAGTGTGTCGAGGCACCGCCCTGCCTCTCGCAATCAAATACATGTTTGACTTCCTGGATGAGCAGGCTGACAGACACGGCATCCATGACATGGATGTTCGCCACACGTGGAAGAGCAACTGGTGAGAAGGATTCCTCAAAGTGCTGCAGCTCATTTCTCTGCTGAGAATAGAGGCCGTCTCATTTTTAGTTTGCAATAGAAGTCTAGTTTCTTTTTTTTTTAGAATTTTCATGTCATTAATTTCTTCATGAGATATGCGTCTTCCTTTAATATTATCTTATGGTTCATTTTATTATTTTACAGGACATTTTATTCTATCTTATTCTCTGATTTCATGATATTTCAGCACATTTTTGCCAGTCTAGATTTTGAAGCTCTAAATGAAATCTTTTCAAAGGCACACAGCTTGTTCTCATACCTGAGTGAATGAAATAAGCAAAAGACGGACTGACCAAACTGAAAAGGAACATTTAATGAAACGATTTCCTCTTGCAATGTCTGAAATATTTCTCTCTGCCTTCTCTTTCAATATCTGCAGCCTGCCACTTCGGTTTTGGGTGAATGTGATCAAGAATCCTCAGTTTGTGTTTGACATCCACAAAAGCAGCATCACGGACGCTTGTCTCTCTGTGGTGGCACAAACCTTTATGGACTCTTGCTCAACGTCTGAACACCGTCTGGGGAAAGACTCCCCCTCCACCAAACTACTCTATGCCAAGGACATACCACATTACAAGAGCTGGGTAGAAAGGTGCGTGTTTGTGCTTCTGTGTGTGGAACTAAAACATGTCATTTAAATATGATTAGGTTAAACCTGTGTAAGGTGTGTTATGATGAGGGTTAGTGTTTGGTTTAAATAGTGAGGTGAGACGTTTAAAATCATGTAAACTGGGTGTACGTTAGAACATCTCTGTAATCAAGTTGTGACTTTTTTTTTCTGTCACCTTCCATCAACATAGTTTCATTTTGAATCAGGTTGTTCTTTTTGTTTTATCATTTGTGTTGCCATGGTTCTTTTGTGTCTCACCCAATTGTCATTTAGTGCAATGGAGCTGCTTCAACTTATGAGTGCTTGGTTTGGTGAAACATATCTTCCAGCTTATTACATTGTTCCTAATATGTCATGATTGGATTTAATGCAAATGCATTGATGATGTTTCTAACACGCGACAGACACAAAATGAAAAAGCAAAAATAACCTCAGGTGGCATATGCATAGAATATAGACTATGGACATGTGAACTTGGAAAGATTGGAGAGATTTGAGAGCTTTTGGGGATAAGAACTGACGCGTCTGACTGGACAATCTCCTGCTGCTTTCTTCATTCGTTATACAAAATCCTGAAAGTCTGGACCCCATCGTGCAGAGATTTTCCAGAGTTTATGTCTGAAAACGGCTTATAAAAAAACCTGTAGTGATATGAGTCTGTGTGTTGGTCTCTAAAAATCATTGTGCAGGTTTGCTTTAAAGGCACTTGAACTATTACTAAATGACTGAACCTGTGAGTGAAACATTTCCTCATCTTCCTGCCAAAACTCCTCAGATTTACGGATGCCTTTAACGCTGGATGATCCCTGAGTGGACTGAATCCAAGTGAAGAGAAAAGCTCTGGTATGCACGACTGTGTCCTTGACACTGACAGTGTGCGTGTGTGTGTGTCTCCGCTCAGGTACTACGCTGACATCAACCGCCTGCCTGCCATCAGTGATCAGGATATGAATGCCTATCTGGCTGAGCAGGCTCGCCTTCACTCCAGTGAGTTCAACGTGCTCAGTGCCCTCCACGAGATCTACGCTTACGTCAGCAAGTACAGCCAAGAGGTAAGGGCCCAGGTCAACACAGAGTATGATGTGCTGTAGAGGTGATTCTGCTGTGGTTAGCTGACTGGAGTTTGCTTCTTTTCATTTCAAAGCAGCTATAATCAATATTTCTATATTAACAATCATTGAAATGACTGTAAAGTGACTGTAAAGTAAATGTGTCACTCGCAGTAACGAACCCCCTGAGGATCATCGCTCAACTCTGCAGCTCCCCTCAGCTCAGTGCATTTGAATCTTTCCTCTCATTGCTCTGGGTTCACAGCTTACAACCTCACTGCTCGGCTTCACTCTCATAGTATCGTTAGCGTCATCGTGTCATCCATCCACAGCAAGAAGCTGTTTTCAGTGAAAAGCTGTGAAGAGTTCTCGACCGGCTGGTGAACCCATAAAGTGCAGCTAAAGAGACGGATATCTGTTAGCTGGTGGAGTCGAGCTAAAAGTGAATTTGACTTAAACTAGTCGGCTTAGGTTATTAGTGCTCTCTGTACGTGTGTGATGTGTAGGTAGGCAACTTTTCGCTAGAAAGTTCACAACTTCACAAGTTGTTAATTTAGCTGATTTATGTCAGCCTGTTACACTGAGCAAGAAAATATCAGTGAACATTAGTGCAGGTTTAAATGCTTAAAGATTGGACTGAAAAAATTATAACTTCCAATGTTAATCAATGTGTAGACTGATCATTAATTAATAGTTTTTAATCTATAAAATGTCAGAAAATCCACAAATCCCAATGTGGCTGTTTAATACCTTCAGCCAACAGTTCAAAAAGATACTGTATTCTGATATTACACATTTCATCTTCTCATTAAACAAATCTGTGAGGATTATTTTGCGTTAATGTGGTGTCGGAAAAATCAGAAAAGCCAATTAATGTAATTTAACAATCAGCTCTAAATAATAGCTTCTAATGTGACATTTTCAAATGTTACAAATTGCACATCCAGCTCTCGCTATAACACCACTCTCACAAATTCAGACTTGAGAACGAGCATGGTTTAAATTATTGATGCGCCTGTCACACCTGGTCATCTCCCTCTGCTCCTCGTTACTATGCTGATATTGGAAAAAGTGTTGTTACAAGACATTCGGTTTACAAACTTTAAAGCCCATGAACACACTGGAATCCGAGCAATGACTTCACAACTGGAGAAAGAGAGAGAGTGCACAGTTCATTTGAATTAATCTGCAAAGATTGTTTTGAATGTAAAATTTTATCTGACGCAGTAAAATGTGCAGCATAATAAAATGCATTTCCTCAGAAAGATAAAAAAGGAGTGGAAGCTGTTGGTTTTGTAGATCAGTTTATATGTGAGTACTTATATATGATTCCTATAGCTGGCCAATAATATACCTCATCATGTCTGTGCTCATGTGTGTGTGTGTTTCTCTCTCTCTGTGTTTGTGTGTCTGTGTGTGTGCGTTTGTGTGTTTTAGATCATTGAGGCACTGGAGCAAGATGAACAGGCCCAGAAGCAAAAGTTGGCGTATAAAGTGGAGCAGATCATCTCAGTCATGTCTACAGAGAGCTGAGACCCACACACACACACGTTCATATACAATATGTACACACTACGCACACACACACACACAAACACACACACATACACACACACACACACACGTTCATATACAATATGTACACACTACGCACACACACAGTAACAGAGGAGTTATAAATCAATCACCAACACATGTGGACATTATGTACACACATAAACACACTGATGTATACTATGGACCTATTGTATAACCAAACAATACATACACATTCAAACACACACATGCAACTGTACATACACAAACCACAGCACACATCAAACAGCAGATTGCCCCAAAGCACGACATTTGCATCCAGTGTCATCGTTTTTTCAGAAGAAACTCCAGCAGGCAAACGTCCAGCTTCTAAAAAATGCTCCTATATATAGAGGGAGAGGAGAAGAAAGAGGATACGGGCCGTCGTCGGTTGCTCAACTTGCTGCCAATTCTTTTCCGCTGGGTAACGCTTTGTCTTTGTAGTCGGTGCTTATACTAAATGTCATAAAACAGCACTTAATAAAGGAAAGACTCAACTTGAATAGTCACTGGAGGCGCTCAACAGAGACAGGAGCCGATTTAATGGCGAGACACAAAGTACTTTTTATACGTCAAAGATGAAGGACGCTTGTTCGAGGTACATATCACAGGCTCGGAGCGACCTCGCCATTTGGAGCCAATGGGAGCAGAGATGTGTAACTTTGTGTTGTTAAGCCTTTTCCTGTTGCCTTGTAAAGGCTTAAAAAACTAAAGACCGTGGCATCGTTGCTTTTCATTCACCTACTTGAAACTCACTGTTTTATTTTAGTTTCTTTGTTTTCTGAATTGAAACTCTGCGTGGGTCAGAACACTAAACGCAAAGGTTGTCTTTGAAAAGGTGAGGCTTTAATAATCCAACGCCAAAAACTGTTGTGTTTAAATTTGAAATACACTGTCAGTATGTAGATATATTTCCAGATCCACTCCCGGGCTTTTTGTGCCAAATATCTCTCATGTTTCATTCATGTTAAATGCTCCCGTAGACGCTATTGATAGTACGGAAAAAGATCCCATTTAAGATAAGGAATTCTGTACAGTGATGATCTAGAGACCACTAATTCAGCCATTCAAAGATAAGTGGAGACCAAATGGAACTGCAGCAGAGAGCATGATTAATGATGCTATGAGCCTGATCCAGGATCAGATTAGCTGACCCCGGCCGACAGCGCCGCTCCCTCCGTGTTTCATCAGTCATTGTTTACATTGAGCATGATACTTGAAATGCACCAAGTGTACAAGATATCGAGAACACCTGCTGCTCCTGTGGAGTAATCTGCTCAGATTAAGTCAGATGAAGATGTTGATGCCTCGTTGATTTCCCCAATAAATCCACTTTGAACGTAACCTGGAAATTAATCATGGGGAGGGAAAATGGATTTCGAACCCTGGAGATCTCGGATCTTATAAAGCAGGTGTTCCTCATATTCTGTACACAGAGTGGATATATGTGATTAATGATGTATGTGTCTGGATCAGCAGCTGGTCTTTGTAAAGTTTATTCATTAAATGTCCGATGCTTCACCGTGATGTCTTCGCTTTACATCCCGACTACTTCTATGTTTCATACGATTCACGTTTTCATTTGGCATTTGGTGTATATGTGACCTGACTGCCTGTTGTCTCCTTGCTGCTGTATTTATAGAGTGCCATATCTAACCTTTAAAACAATTATCATGACGAAACAGTCCGTCCGAGGTTTCACGCTCATTCAGGGTTTTAGTTTTAACTGCGACGATGAGAGACGAGCATCGTTCTCTGCTCGCCTCGGTTTAATTGTCCCATAAAGAGTCACTGCGATCGTCCGTCAAATTAATTCTGAATAGCTTCTTTTCTACCATTTCAGTATCAGTGGGGTTAATGTACTCCCCACAGGACCTTGATTCATGTTAATCTAAAAGATAAAGTAAAATAGATAATAAATACATTTCCTGTTAAGTGTTGAAATGTGACAGAGAACTCATCTGTTTCATGTGTGGTTCGATAATAATGATAATTTATAAATGTGTTGTGCAATAAACTGTAATGTTTTTTTAAACTATATATTATTGTATAAATACTGTACATAAAAAACAACTACTATTTTGCAAGCAAAAACTTCACTTTGTACTGTTGTTATACATTAAATGCGCAGCTGAGGAAAATGATGTTTGTGTGGTTTGGTTTGTGGTGAACTCCTGAATTATTCTTACAGCAACGTAATAAATCTGAAATTTAAGCCCCGGTGGATTAAATATTGTATCCTCAAAATACTTTATCCATATTGAAAGTACACTTTTATGTGATGTCCTGTGTTCATTCATACATTTTATATTGCTGATATTCATACCATGACATAAACACACCTGCTTGTCCAAAGCATCAATATATGATTCATAATCCATGAGCACTTAGTTTCTGTTTTATATTTTGCAGACAAAAGGCTGCTGCCGTTAGAGGTCACGTTATTTTCCAGCCAATCTGAACTCTGCCACACGTAACTGGATAATCCATTGTAATTATGTTAGAGGAGCACTTGCATGGTAATTTAATTGTTGAACTGTTATTGAGTTTTCATGAGAAAGCACTAAAAGCAAGATAATGTCAGACATGAAACCCCAGCGACACGTCCATTGTTCAGCTTTTGCACTTCGAAACTAGCATAATGTTTGACACTTGCACTGATGCATGAGTGCATTATGATTATCAATAATTATTTTAGATACACATGTAAATGAAGGCCTCCATTCAGTATCGTTAGCATAGTCCTGCTAATTAATAGATGGAGACAAGAGACAAACAAATGCAGACTAAAACAAAACCTCGACAGCCGATAATTTGACAATGAACTCAGTTACATGTATTTCTTGCTATCATATTAAAAAAAAAAATTAAAAATTACAATTGCACAACACATCAAAACACACGTTGTGTGTTGAAACACAGAGCCTGTGAAACTGCAAAGACACATCCTGAAGAAAATGACTAAATGCCTTTGAATTTCATTCAAAACAAAACAAAACACAGCCCCATGTGGTGAGTAGCCCGTCAGAATGAAGAGCGGGGCTGCGCTGTGCCGTCGTACTGTGACAGTATTGGGTATGGCATGTGAGCAGCATATAGGGGCTCCTGAGCACTTGCCATAAGGAGCAAGAATATATTATTCATGTTTACCCCTCGGGGCTCTGGGCAGGCAGAGCAGAGGGAAGGAGGGAGAGGAGGACGGAGGATTGTATGAACACAACCTGTCCTCTCAACCCATACCTGTCAGATGCAGGTGGGGGTGTCATCAGCGTATCGAAGGGTCCTCTGTACACCTGCCAGACTCTAACCCCTCGTCTTTCCCTCGCTTCTGTCTTTGCTCGTCAGAGTGAAACACTCAGCAGCCGGCAATTCACCCTCACTTACTGCTCTCACGCACACTCACACTGAGGACGACCATTAGGACTCAAACCTCCTCCACTGACAGCTGAGCGAGCCGCAGGATTTCTTCTTGATAGACTGTGTGGTCGAATGGTACTGGACAGGTTTATGGATCTGCTACAGCCATTAGAAGCCCATTATTCTTCTATCAATCCCTGACAGTTGACATAATATTTCATTCTGCTCCAACTCATTATTGATGTAACAACATTATATATGTGGCGTGTACGGTATAATAAAAGGGCAACGCTTAATTTCAGAGAAATCACTGGGCGAGTGCTGCCAGGTATAACAAACCCCCAGCCGGCCAGAATATTTGATTCAGAAACTGACCAAACACACAGACTGCAGATCTTGAGGAATAATTCAAACTGTAGCTCTGACTGTGGAATGGAGGACAAGTGGGAAAGGCCGTAGATTTTCTGTGTCTCTTGAACAAATGAGCGGAATTTGTGTTGTTAATGGACAAAGCTCATCATATCATTGCATGGATAACAAAGATTATTAGTAATTTATTATTAATTCATAATAATTTATTAGTTACAATTGGAAGTTGAATATGTTTGGACTCTGACTGCAAAATATTTACTAGTTTCATCCATCTCTAATTCTAGAAATGTCTCATCTGTCCGTGGCTGACATATCCCGAGAACCACTCATGGCTTCCCACTTGTATTGTTGAGGGGCTGAGGAAACACAGTGTGTAATTTGGTGCGATTTGGAAAAGCGATATGTCCAATACACTTGAAATGAACAGGTTACCAGTGCTCTGTAGCAGCAGCTGCTGGGACTCGATCAAGACAACAGCATGTTTCAGACAAATGAATCTCATTTCTCCCCCATTTTTCTCCGCTCACCCTGACCGGTCGAGGCAGATGGTCGCCCACAATGAGTCTGACTCTGTTTGAGGTTTCTTCCTGTTAAAAGGGATTTTTTTCTTTTCACATTTGCCAATGCTTGCTCGTTGTAGAAACGGTTTCAAGGTCTACTGTCTAATTTATGCGAGTTTTTGTTATACAAACCAAACCAAACTGAATTATACTGTTCAGGGTCATGGAGACTGTAAATCACTTTTACACAAAATAACTACATTATCTACAGGGGCAAGACGAAGCTACAGCCCTTCAATATATTGAAGCCGTGTTCTATGTTGATTGCATGACTTGCATCCTGCCCACAAAGTAAAAACATACATTTCCTTCTTTGGACATGGGTTGCGGTTATTTTCATCTGGGAGGAAAATCCAGTGACCGCTGACATACAGACACAAATATGTCATATGTCTATAATGGACACGCCCACTACAGCACAATCAAGCTTTAAATTATTTTTTGCACAGCTGGAACGCAGGTTTGAGGCTGTTGAGGTCTGCAGGCATCAATCTGCTGCTGCTTTCGTCTGATGCATTGTGGATTATCAGAGCGCAAACAATAAAACAGGCACTGATGTATTTGTTCTTGCCAACAACAGCTGCCTTAAAAAATACCTGATGGCCGTTTTGAACAAATCCTGAACAGCCACAGCTCGGTCTCCAACAGCGACAACTTATTTCAGAATTTACTGAATGAGCTCATCCATGAAGGCATTTAATGTCACCAGTTAACTGCAGTAATTTGTCCACCAGCAACGACAAGGTCACTGATTTCAATTCCAACAAATGTTCAGTATAAATCAATAAATTATGGGTTTCATGATCTACTGAGGAGGCAAATGTCCAGTAGGTTGATCTGGAAAGCACAGAAGTCTAGCAGTGCCATCTTGTGTTTAAAGTCGTGATCACAGGCTGATGGAAGCTGGCCAACAGAGACAGAGCGACTGTTATTCAATCATTCATTCATTAAGTGTTGACACCAGATTGACCACAGTCTGGGATGAGAGCAGAAGATCATGTGAGAGGCTGTGAAAATGTGGACGAGGGCAGGGTAAAGCATGTGTGGGAGACAAGAAGTGTCTGTTTTATTGCCTAGGCCTGAGGGACTTTGTGTGTGTGTGTGTGTGTGTGTGTGTGTCTGTGTGTAACATCTGCAGGGAAATGCAGCAATCCAAGAGGTCATGACACCAACACTACACCCTGACACTGTGAAGAGAACCCACACAGGGACGCCACTGATGCACACTTTGTTTTAGGAAGAAGTGACTTCATTCGTCCAGCACTTCCTTTTTTTCTTCCTCCTTCCCGCCTAAAGTCACAGACCTTGCTCGGCCCAGCCCACAGAGGTAACGGTCACCATTTGCTGCAGTTTGAAATGAAATCTCCTCCCGCTGCCCCTCCTCTCCCTCACCTTCCCTCCCCTCTCTCCTGCTCTCATGAATTCATTTTAAGACACACTCTTTCCCACAGAGCCAATCTCTGAACTTTGCGGGAATTTACACCTTCCATTTCCAAAAGCTCCATTAAATGCACATTAGTGCGCGTCAGTGTTTGTGACTGAGTAAGTCCACATGCATTTGTTCAAATAGATTTACCAGAAGAAATTAGGGAACTGCACTTGAACAAAGACATTAAAAAACACTGTTACTGTAACCGAGATAATTGACTGCGTGTTTCTTTTCTTGTAACTTCAGTCAAAACAGAAGCATGAATCTCTGAAGCTGTTGTCAATTACATAAGTATGTGGCAAATAAATTCTCTTCCCACAAAGAAGAGTCACATTAGTGAGTCACTGTTTTACAACTTCCTGTTCCCAACTCTTCCTGGGGCTCTTTACAAATAATCCTCTGCTGGTGAAATCTTGCTCTCAGAGGATAAACACTCCTGCTACTGCAACAAGAAATCAACATAACTGCCTTGAATTCAGTCTTCTACAGGCATGGTGAGGTTGCTTGGAGGACGTATAGACTAAGTGCGTAGAGACTATCTTGGCCTATGATCTTATATTTTCATTAATAGCGCAGTGACTATTTGCATTTTAAATTGACTCATCAAGAAAAGTCACTGTGCACATAATTAACACTTTCTGTTTCCTCCATGCACCTTGGAAGTAGGTGATGTTTTGCCACAAACCTCTACTCTGCTTCAAGAATATCATCCCTGACACACTCTGCTAATAAGCTCTCGGAGAAGGATCTGCAATTTAAAGCAGCCGGTGATTCATCAGCCGAACCTCAGTGATCCTGGGGAGTCCAATTAACTGCTGAGACTTCTATTACCGCAAAATAAGACTTACCATTGACCCTAAAACACATCCAAGAAGTGAAATTTATAGTCAGACTCAAGCCAGGCTGCTGGAAGCACCCTCATCAGCAGTTTGACAAGTTATACTCCACAACTTTATTATTAATACACAGAGACGTCTCTTGGCCTGAGCGCTCAAGGTTGTAGATCCAAGTAAATCTCCACTTTGATCGATTTGTTTCTACGTACTAGTCACTAAAAGAAGATGGCAGTGTTGGACTTCTGTATCTTCACTGAACAGAATCTTGTTTTTCATCTTCAATGAATGGAGTTGAGGCCGGTCAGAGGGAAAATATACAGCAAAACGGACTCGCTGGCCAATCTCTGTAAATTCTGCACTTCACTTGCTTTCAGACGTTTTCCTGAACTTCTCTGGAGGGGCTGCGTGTGAGATGTCCAAGTCAGTTACTGCTGCCATTTTCCACAACTTCTCCTGCCAGCTCTCGAGTGAGAAGTGAGAACCCTTTGGGAGTTGACACCAGAGTCAATGAGTTGCAAACAAGAACTTGTGATTTTCAGTCTCATTTATACGTCATGTCCTGCCTCCTTCATGCTCCACCCAGGCGCCACCTCTCGCCTGAATGATCTGAACATTTTCCTGTTGTTTTAAATACATCTGACCAAGACGATCCCCTGCTGCGTGCATCATGTGTGAAAGACTGTTCCTACAAAGTCAGTAGAAAGGGACAAGTTGATACATACCTTTTTTTTTTTTAATTTCCTCATGTTTTACAAGGTTCTTATTAAGTAGGTGTATCAATCATTTTGCAACGGAATTGAGATTTACTTTGAGCTGCTTTGCATTATGGGTTTTGTGGATTCTGCATCATGTAGGCCTAGTAGGTATCTGATCTGATGTTCATTTTGGTTTGAGATGTTCTAGTGGCTGTGCAGATTATCTAGTAAATCAGATCCAAAGCCATCCTCTCTTCTCCGAGTAGCCTTCACATGCAAGTATCTAAGCTCAGCTAGTCCAGCTAATGCCTCTGGGAGTGCTCATTGACACATTTCAAAATTGTGATCTGAAGAGACCAATCAGATGGAATACATTCTCATCTGTACACGTTTTTCAACTGGTTGAAATGCATGATCATTTTTAATTAATAAATCTTTCCTAATTGTCCCAGCAGTGAGAAAACAGTGGGAGTCGTGTTTGTTATAGAAAGTGTTCTGAGATCAGACACAGGTGAGCATGTGTGGATGGATTTGATGCTTTTACAAAAAGTGTGTGTGACACACAGAAAAGAAAAACAAATAAAAAAGAAAAAGAGAAGAAGCGAGACAAAGAATAAGTGCATTCACACACAAAAAAATTGCATGTTCACAAAATGTTTGGCAACAGCTCTGGATTTTTGTAGAAATCTAAAGGGGAAAGCACAAAAGCACCAATTTTGATATTTACCCTAGTTGCCGATATTCTTCTGGGACACTCCATCATACATTTCAGAAAGCAGAGTAACACATATGCTCTGAAGTGTAGATGCATGGAAGTAAAAAGCACAACCGTCACATCTGGTTAAAACACACATGCAAGTTAAACCACAATACGCACGGCCGTCAGAGATAATCTATGGCAGCAGCAGATATATGGTAAATGTAATGTACTGTTACTGAAGAAACACTGCAGCAGCTAAGAGGAGAGGAGGGGCTGCGTTTTCAAACGCCATAAGTTGCAACAGATGTGCAGAACAGTGGATGTACCATAAACAAATAAAGCCGTAAGAAGCAACGAATGTAGGCTCTAAATCACAGGACGCTGGTGGTGAAAATGTTTTGCAGATTGGCTTTCTGTAAAGTCCTCAGAGAGATGCACTTGCTGTCTGCGTTGGTTTTCCACTGTGTGACCACAACATGCTACCCTGCGACACTCTGAGCCACAGTCACGGAGAAGACAAATGAGGAAACAGGGCGATGATTGAGGGTGAAGAGGGTTTGGAATGTGACTTGTACACAAAATGTATCCATCACTATAAGAATACAGTAAAAAAAACAAAGACCAGAGCAGAGTTTTATGGACACTGACGATTTAACAAGATGGCATTTACTTTACTAATCATTAAAATCAGGATTTCTCAGCCTCTTATTTTTTAATCTGTCTAATACAGTCTTCACTTTAGTCCAAAACAAAATAACAGGTGTTTGGACCAATGGATGATAAAACTGTTTTGACCTTCTTACCAATCTCTTACTTTCAGACCAATTGCAGGAATTTGAGACATGATTAAACAATAGAAGAAGAGAAAGAAAAAAGGGCCAGCAGCTGCAGGATTGCTTTTAATCTTACCTCTGAAGAAAACAAGGCTCCAAAGACGAAATGTTTGAGTCACGAGGACGTTTACTTTACTGGTAGTAAAACCATAATGATATTACAGTGGCAACCACATTAACCAAGTGAATTGGCTCATTCATTTCCTCTGTATTTTTAACACACTCAAAAAAGTTAGCAGAATTGAAACACAATGACATCATACACACGCTTGTCTACAAACCAATCAATGCTACTAGACTATGGTCTGAACCTCCAGGTGTGAAAACACGCTTTGTTTCATACAAATATCAATTCAGATTGTTGGAAGTTTGCTTCACAAACCAAGATTTGTTATTGTCGTTGCACTGCTGCAGACAACGACACCAGAAATTGCAAAACGATGAAATTGCGACGCTTTTCTATAAATACAATGTCTGTACTTCAGCCACACACTTATGTGAAAAATAAGTGTTTACAGATCTGTGCTAGGAGGAAAGAGAAAATAATGGATAGTGAAAAAACACGGGCAGTAAAAGGGGCTTGACCTGCTGCCCTTGATTGAGGGTAAAATTCTGACAGGAAGCTGTGATTCATGGGGACTCAAGTAACAGAAATACTTAACCAGCTAACAGGCTAATGAATGTTTTACTGGAGTGACGTGAATGCTGCTGTCCAGCTGTGCACGCTGTAATGGGCACACTGCTGCTTTTGCTCTTGGGGTTTCCAGCAAAGCTCATCTCGAGTCACAGTCAGGGGCCAATTGACCACCTCAGCACCCTGCTGTTTGAGTTCAGTGTTTGATAGGGGTCCGGCAACGGGGGTAACAGGAGGAAATGGAGTGATTGGGGGGAGGATGGGGCCATAACAGGGAGTGTGGGTGGGGGGGGGACTACAGGCACAACTGGTATCAAATTACAGGAGCGTTTTTTCAAAGATTGTGAGATGTGGCTGTGGTTCAGTTTACTTCTCTCCGCTCGCTGTTGTTGCTTTCTTTGTCTGAGAGGGAGGGGCTTTTTATTTTTTAACTACTCATTTAGCATACCTCCTCCAGTGGTTCCAGATGTGTGATTTACACAGAGCATGAGAACCACTAGCAAAAGAGCCAACAACCATCGAACAAAAGCAAAGCAGAGATCCTCGCAGTTGCAGGGGGTATAGTGGGGGTTGCTGGGTGCTTTCATGACTCTGTGGAGGTGTGAGCGGTTTTTAAGCCGACCCTGTGGTGTCTTCACTCCTGGGACGGCGGTTGTTGACTGATGGCCTGGCAGAGAAGTGGAGGCTTGGATTAATATCATTAACATAACAGTGGGCTGCACCTTTGTTTTCGGGTTTGATTATTCGGCTCTGTAGTCTATCTCCATAAGCCTATTAAGGACCCCGGTGTCACAGCCCATTGTCAGATATCACCTTTTATTGTGAGGTGGATTACTGCCTCTGTCCAGACAAGGTTCACAGTTCAGGCAGACATAGTTCCCCAATGTGAGCGGAGATACAAGCAATGATCACCAAAGCATTTTCTGCAGCGTTGTAACAAACACACACACACTACAGCGGATGGTTTTAAACATGGGAACTGCATATTTAATGTGAGTATAAACATGGAGAGGTATTTGAAGAATGCTGCACTAAGTTTATCTTCTTTTTTTTTTTTTTTTTAAATACATAACATCCCAACAAGACTCCATTCTCCTGCTTCTTTCCCTCCCTCTGTCTGCCCTGCGCCCTCTTCTTCTCGAGGGGTGGGGGCACACAGGAAGGGTTAAAGGAACCAGGGAAGGACTAGATGTTGGGCTGGGCCTCAGTAAGGGAGTGGGGAGCAGGGAGGGGTGTTGGGTGTGTGTGTGTGTGGGGGGGGTGCTATATAAAAAACTGACAGAACACAAGTGGAGCTTTATCCACCCTGTCCCGCTCTGTGAAAGAGGAAACCCTAAACTGCTCAGGCTCAACCAGCCCCAGCCCTTTTCTCCCTTTTCTTTCTTTCCCTCTCTTTTCACTCACACCCATCGGACGTGTGCACGCTCAGGAGGAGAATGGCAACATCATCTGCAAAGAGAAACGGAGAGCCCCGCAAGATGTTGGCGTTCGCTGTGCTGCTCATCGCCTCACTCTTAAATGGTAAGTAGTTAAAAGAAGAAAAAACACTTAAATAGTAAAATAGTTTGAGAAAGACTGTAAGGCCATCTGCAGGGAGAGAGGGAGGGGCAGGAGGGGTGGGGTAGGAGGAGTGTTTGTTTGAATGGTCTTTGAGTTGGATCCAGGTTTTAACCCTACAACCCTTTTACTCACTGGAATGCTATCGTACCATCTCTGCAATGAGAGCAAATCTATAACACATGAGTCGTTATAGGTTTTGAAAAAGGGTTTAACAAAGATGGTTTTATTTCCCAGAAAGAAAAAAAAACATGACTTTGCAGGATACTGTGACAAACAAAGAAATCAATATAGAGAGAGGGATTTTGAATGTTGTGGAGGCACTGGGATGTTTTAAATGGGGATTTGAAGCTAGGATTCTTATTCTGAAGCATTTCTGCCTTTTACTGTTTTAAACCGTTTATGAGTGGCACTCCGCTGCTATGCTTGCTATTCCATTGATCTGATTCCCATGATCATCGAGGACCTTGAGAAATGTGCTTGTTTATATTTAGCTGGTTGCAATGTGAGGCCAGTTGAGAGAGTGCGTGAGAGGAGGGTGTGGAGTTTGGTTGTTAATGTGCATCTGAAATGTGGTCGTGCTGATGTAAGTCGGTGCATCAAGGATAGCTGATGTTTAACTATGCATAAATAGGACTTGACTGAGTTCCATATCAAAATAGAGAAACCAAAATAATCAAATGTGTTTTCTTTATTTATCATAAAGAAGTAATAGGCCTCTGTAGTATCTTAAGATTAACAAACCCCAGGATGAACTTTTCGGTTGATTTGAATCGAGCAGCACTTGTATATGTTTTTATAAATACTTAACTATTCAGGTTTGGAACAACTCAGATGTGTGAGTGCACAGAGCTCCAGTTTAGCTCATAAATTCTCTGCAGTGGCAGCAAGAAAATTAAGAAATCAATCACGTGGAGGCACTTCTGTTGTCGTCTCATCCCTTAATAGTGGACAAGCTATGATCTGATCCAAATAAACGCAGCACATGTCCAACATGTCAAAGAAAATGAAGCTGAGAATGAACTACAGCTATGCCATTATTCGTAATGCCCTCTCTTGTGGCTGGAAATAAATGACACCACTAAATTGCTTAATTCAAACCTCCTGTCTCGTTCGTGGGATGTATCTTATGGGAATGAGATCATCTTCGGTGAGAAGCAGCTACATCTGCTTTTCGCAAAAGAAAACTGCTGTGACATCATTTCACACTGTCGATTTCAAAACCAAACTTTTATTCTTCCTTTGAGTTATAAAAAGGCATCTCTTGACGTGCACCATGTTTATGCTCCTTGACAAATCACGGACATACCAATTCAAAACATGTGACTTGTGTGCTGGGCCAAATGTGCATTGTCCTTAAAAATGAAGGGCAATGGAGAAACGTCAGATATTATACAGATGTTTAGAAAAATCAATCCACAGGAGTCAACTAGATGATAAACCATCTGTCTCTGGAGTGAAGCATCAATCCCCCTTTGTTGAATTGTCATGTCAGTCTTGAGAGATGGAGTGGAGTTATGCAAGAACAGGAAAGATGAAGAACTTTACTATGACAAGATCAGAGCGGATTCACAGATGGTGGCGAGCATCGGGAGATGATCAGAAACACTGGGGGGAAACCCCTGTAGAGACCGTTTAGCAGATGTGAGCTGAAGCAGTGCACAGTTAAATGAAGTATGCTCAGATTTCCTTTTGTTGTCAGTGACATGATTGGAATGTCCCGGGTTGAATTTCAGAAAACTCTACACTTAGAAACAATTTTCGTAGTAGGGTTTAAGCTCTGCCTGTGCTGTGAAGTGGTTTTTAGGAGGCTCCTTAGTTAAGCACGAAACCCGGCCCAACCTCACTGGCAACCCCAGAGCATGTAATTATGTAAATCGCTGTTTGTGTTGTACCCATTGAAGTACCAGACGCAGAAGAAGAATTACAGAAGACAACAGAGAGTTTGGTTCTCTCGTGAGAACGAATGGCACTGACCGAGCCAAGTCAGGACCCAGAGTCAAGTGAGGCAGCGGTGGCAAGACATCTGGAAGCAGGCACACACAAACACACACACATTGAAGATTCAATATCCTTTCATCCTGATAAGAAAAGAAAAGGCTGCTTTTCCCCTCAGGTATTAACATCTTATACATCAATACTGGCAGATATACTCAGGTTTTCTTTGTATACGTGGGTAAACCAGATGAAAAGGTGATTGTCTCCTTTCTCATTGCCAGTAGAATAGTTTTTTTTTGTTCCAAGTCAACGCCACAAGTCTGCCGGAAATTGAGAAGCTCTCTCCCATTGATATCTTGCTATTTGCTGCATTTTGCATGATACAAAATGAAATAAAAGCCAAATGTTAGTGGTGTTTTGGAGGGAAAGGGTCTTTACTTTTTTTTTTTTCAGGCTCTGTACTTGTGTACTGTATTTGCTCTGATTGGATTGCACAATAAGTGCTGTATACTTCCACGAGTATGAAACAGTCAGAGGATGCAGGAATCTGATCTGTAAACTGGACACATTGATGGGAAATGAAAGGAAGTGAAGGTTGAGTATCACATGGCAACCTGCAACAAGAAATACCTAAATTAAAGCAAATGATGTTTTAAAGCATACAACAAATCTTTGCACGTCGACTAAGTGCACTTCAGCTCAGAGTCGTAATGGCCTATTATGGCTGTTTCTCAATACCGCCCCTGATATGTGTGCAAGCAATTACTCTGGTAGATTTTTTTGAAAGATATTGTGCGTCTCAAATTCTCTCTGGACAAAATCAATGTTGAGCCTTGGAGCTATTGATGGCCAGATATGACTCACTCTGCAACAGGATCCTCTCCTCTCACGGTCTACCTGCACACACTCACAGCAGACAGGCTCATTCAAGGTAATCGCAACTGCAGTGGTCAATCGTGTGTGTGTGTATGTGTTGAGGGTGGGGGAGGGTTGTGGGTGGGTGGTGATTTAATGCTGCCAAATGAAAGCAGATGTCATGTTTCCTGAATGTGGTCCCTGGTAACAGGCAGCCAGCTCTCGATAAGAAGCCGTCGAGGCCTCAGGGTTGGGTTGGGTGAGCGGCGCAGCTGGGCAGTGTTGGCGAAGTAAGTGCAGCTTCATGGGCCTGATTGAAACCATGAGAGCGAGTTGATTTTCTGCCAAGAGAGGAGAATGGCCAAGGTTCTGCTATTAATCGCTGTGACAGGAACGATGTGAGTGGGGGTGCTGGGTGTGTGTGTGTGTGGGGCGGGTCAACATAGTGGGGTCAGCAGTCTGTTGTTTCAAAGAGGGTAGAGTTGCAGAGCATGTTTGACCCTAAGGGACTGGGTTCCGATGTCACATTCCTCTGCACACGCTTTACTCTTAAATTCAGATTCTTCAAGGGCAGCAGGATATTAAATAATGAAGACGGACATATTAAGAAAACAAGAGTGAATGGAGGGTGTTTTCATTCATACAAAATACTGTTTTACAAAGCTAACAAGAGGTCAACGCGTATGGAGCTGAATAACAAAAAACAATATGTTTGTTTTTTAAAACATTTAAAGAAAATTCATGTTATATACGTCTGACTAACCTTTGGAGGTACATCTGCAACAGAGTGAATCTAAGTTCCTCCACGCTCTTATGGTACTCAGGTCTTAGTTCAGATCTTAGTTCAGATCCTGGCATATTTATACAAGGCCAAGGTTGATAAACTTTCAATGAAAAGATATCACAGAGCCATTACTGTATCTCTCCGCTATTCAACTTTCAGAATCCATGTTGGGGCGAGCGAGTGAGGGAAGGGTGGGGTGGAGGAGGTGTGCTCTTGAGTCATATTTCTATCCAGCTGATGCCGGAATGATGTCGGGTCACAGATACTTTGAGGTGGCAGAATAAAGAAAGATCCTCTTAATGGCAGTGAAATGAGGCATTTTACCAATTTTCCCTCAGTTTAACATTGTTCACAAACCATACATTATGTGTATGTCTTGTGTTACACTATATAGATGACAAATCACCACTTTCACAGTTACATGCTGGATCATTACACCTCACACCCCCACTCAGTCAAGACTGTGGAATGCATTTATATATATATATATATATATCCTGCAGATACATATGCAGGGATTATTTCCAGGAATATGTATGTACTTTTAACCCTGATAGAAAAGGGGAGGGTGATGTGTCTTGAGTGTTTATAGAAGCTGTCTTGCTTGAACAGACTCTCACACACTCAGTCAGAGCAGTTAAGACATCTTGGAAAAATGAGTTGTGGCATTGGTCAAAGCTGCCAACTCAATTTCTGACGTTCTAAGATAAACGGGTGTCTCGGTTCTAAGAAAACAATATATTATATGGTAACTGGCGAGGAGGGTGTTAGCAGAAACTCAGGCAATGGGAGTTTGTCATGGTGGTCCTCAAACTTTTGCAGACCATTATCACCTCTTCATGCCCTATTACACGGTGCAGGGTTTTCTCAACAGAAGCGGAGAGAGGCCAGGGGCTTTGGGAATATACGGCCATATTTTTAGACTTGGTCCCTACGAGCACAGGACTTCTCTGGAGGCCAAAGCCACAGAAGTGTCCAAACCTCCTGAAAACATTATTATTATTTTTTTTAAAGTCATTAAAAGACACTGAAGAGGAACAAATGCAAAGCTGTGTAAAGACGACACGTGCCTTCATGTGGAACTTATGTTTATTAAGCCTTTAGATATACAAGCCCGAAGAGGCCGCAGAGCGACAAAGCTTCCTTGAGCCATGAGTGATATTAGCTGTTACCAACTGACTCTTGGCATGTTGTTTAATATCCCAGTACATGGTGCAGGGTCTGCATCTCACCTCGAGAGATGCCTGGGATTAGCTGTGCGTGACTTGGAGATGGCGAGCAGACAGAAAGAGTTTGAAGGGAGTGAAGGCTCGTCTTCTTCCAAAGCCCGCCACATTCCTCCATCCGGAGTCTCAAGAGATGGAGGGGGGTGCAGGGTGGAGCCTTTCCAGACCACAGCCTTCACTCAGAGGAATCTGGTGGGAAAATCTCCCCGGGAGCAATGGAGTCAAGTCTCATGCTGTAGAACACATGGAGTCAGGGCTGATTAGGATGACTGGGTTACGCTTGTTGTGTTTGTGCAATAATAGACAGACACGCGACCGATGAGTAATATCTTGAACATTAAGCAAAAGGAAGGGCTGAAAGACAAGTCTGGTTGGATTGTTGTATGTGAGGTGAGGCTCAAGGGTTGTGGATGTCTCAGACGTATGTAAATTGTGTACAAAAGTTCAGTAAAATGAAGGGATAATCTGTTGAGGGATTGAGTTGAGGTAGGAGGGCAACAAGGCAGATACGGGTTCAGAGGTTGGAAACACCGGTATAAATTACAGCTGGACCACCGTCAAATCCCCATCAAACGCTGAATTTAAGCTTTTTTTCTACAATCAAAACGATGCAATAAAAGAAGTTCACTCTGCCAACATTCACACTTCTACATTTTGGTCTTGTAACACCTTGCCATGTCTACGCCTGCCAAAAAAGTCTGAGGTACATTTAAGTCAGAGTGGGCAGAAAAAATAAGGTGTTTGGAAATGTCACGTAGATTTGCTTAAATGCAGTTAAATGTAGAGATTTCCTTCCGTCTGGACTCTGGTTTGTCAGGACCCTTTGAGTGAAATGACTGATGGCAGGTCAGATGGCTGGATAGACTTTACCGGCTGTGTTGAAGTTGATGTCTGAAGTTAAACAAACAGGTGGAAATGTAGCAGCCAACTTTTACAAGTGTGCTTGAGGTGCTATGACATCATGAGCACAAGATTTTTAAGCCTTTTTTGCATTGTGGCTTCAAAAACCACCGTAATCCCTCAAACTCAAAAATGTGCTGTATAAACACGGAAACTGTTTTTAAATATTGACAGAGCTACTCTGGCTCAAAAGGAAATTAGCCTCCAGTAAATCACCACAACGTTCCTCCAAGATTTCATCGGAGACCGACCTACACTCCAAACTAAACACACTCATCAGCTTCAGCGTCTGTCTTTAGACGGATAACACCCCTGACAGGTTTTACCTCCCAGTTGGCTACAACTCACCCGACGACAGTAAGTGCTCACAGAGCTGAAACGACAAATTTTAGCCTCTGCACTCTGGCACTCCTGTGCGTCACATTTGTATGAGGAACCCTGATTTATGCCTGACCATCCAACCCATTCTGTTCCTCATCCTTTTCCGGTAAAATAAGCAAACAGACCACCTCAGAGATGGTGGAGGGATGGCAGCTGGAGGCTACAAGACAAGGGAAGGAGTCTAACATACAGGACTTACAAGGTTAGGCAGCCCTTGACCTACTGCTGGTCCACGCCCACACTAATGCTTCTCATAGTAAACTACAGACACCAGGCATTCCGAGATAAGGCACTAAATTTGGCTTCATCCTGGCTCCGTAGTGAAACCTGAGCATGTGAGCTTTTATAATAGATTCGACATGGTGGCAGAAATCGCGGAACAGCCTGGAGGTCAGTGACTGTGATCTTCCTCCTTCAATTTAAAGCTCCACAGGGTGCAGAAGATTCTGGTTGACAGACAGCTGCAAGGCACAGTTGCTAAACATGCTAGAAGACCTCCTGACCATCTGCCAGCACGCAGACACACGTAGCGTTTGTTCAGCACTTGTGGCACCTGTCTGTAACAATGATTTATCTGAGGAAGTCAGTGGAATAGTGTCACAGTGCCACCACTGTGTGAATATACAGGCCTCATGTGTGGACACATCAAGTATTGACAGGAATCGGTGAGACCACATGGAGACAAGAGTGTAGCAGAGGAGTAAAACAACTCGTACTGTTATTTTAACAAAAATCGAATGGATTTTAACTGAATAATTGAATTAAAATATAAAGACACAACAACAATTTAAAGGAGTGAAAAACAGAATGAGATTCGCCGAGATAAAACAACAAGGACTGTAGCATGTCTTTGCTGTCTTGTACTCCAATGTTTAACTTGTTATTACAGTTAAACTGTTTGTTTTAATGGACTCAAGCAAAGCTTTGAAATATCACCTAAAAATGTACATATACATGTTTTCAGATGTCGTAACAAATGTTTGCTGTCATTAGTTGTATTTCTTCACTGAACAGTCAAAGAGGCCTGTAAATAATTTAAATAACATGTAGGACAAGGTGAATATCCTTCATATGTCTCTCGAACTAGTTAGCCTGCCAACCGCCAGTAGATGTGAGCAGATGTTAGCGACCACCAGCGGATGTTAGGTCCATGGTCAAAAATGTCTTCTCAAAGTTATTCTAATATACACAAATCTAAAGTTCAAAACTAAGGTCATGTTTAAAAGACACAAACTCTAAACTTTAAATCTACAACTAAAGTAAAGCTCTAAGTAAACAAAAGCACTAGCTGCACTATGCAATTTCAAACCTAAAATCAATCACAAACTTTATCTGGCGACCGGAGAGGAATTTAAAAGCGAGAGGGTGAGAAGTAATGAGATCTGCAGAGGTAAGGCAGTATGGAAATGTTTTGAATATGAGGTAATGTTGTTGTTAGACAGAGCCAGGGAGATCTGGGTGAAGTGAATGCATTTAAAGTATTCAGGGTCAACTCTGGATACTATGCTTGCAATTTGACCTCAGTAATAATGATCTGTGGCTCATTCACTCAGGGCCTGTAGGGCGTGGTGGCATATTTTTTTTAACTAGCGCAAAGAAATCAAACGTACCCTCAAAGTTATTTCAACATTTTACAGCTGACTACAAATATCCAATCAAAATGTTGATTTAGCGTTGTGATTTCTCAAGGACTCCTACAGTCACAAAGCTCCCTGAAAATGGAATAATTGGCCTATTGCATAAATCAAAACTTTGGAATAAGTGATGTGTTCAATGGCATCATTACCTGAAACCTCTCAGTTGCACATTGTGAGGATTAATCAAATATCATTCCACTGAAACATATTTCAGGAACGTTTTTATGGCCCAGCGAACGTGAGTCACTGTGCCCACATGATCTTTTCAAGACCTCGGAGTTGAGCAAGATTTAATTTCAAAGTAAATTATTTCATGACGTGATGCATGAATCTGAGACCATCTGTTATCCACGGCAATAGGATCTATTTAAGATCTATTGCCTCGTCCTCCACACCGGGGGCCTCGAGGGACTCAAAGATACCTTACAGAGAACACTCAGGAGACCTCTCACACCATGGTGAAAAGTGCACACTATCTCAGCTATGAGCTACAACCTCACTTTACAAATGTGGGGCCTGAAGAGGAATAACGAGTTGATATGTGAGAAGACGTCACACTGCACTGAATTCAGTTGTGACGACCGGTAGTTTTCTTATAAACTGAAATGACGAAATCGGCTGCCACAGATAAGAATGTGTCTTTCTTTGCCGAGATGCCACAGATCCCATGACAATCTGGTGCTGCGTATGAACACTTCTTTCTTTCCTCCGAGAAGTAATGAATCAAAACAAAAGCAGAATACAAATGGAAACGTCCTCTCAATCGTCAGTAAAGAAGCACTCAATTCAGAGAAAGTAGAACTCACTAACAGACATTTATCTTTTCTTGGACGTCACAGATTATCCACTTTGGTAAATATGAACTTGTTGAGTGCAGTTTGCTAACGTCACTAAAAGCCTGATCACTGGATTTAAAAATGTTCATAAATCCATTTCTTGTTGTGTGTCGGTTTTGTAGTGTATTCAATTTCGGTGAAAGTAAAAAACAGCAGAAGCCCAACAGCGTGTTTTTAATGTCAGAAATGTAAGTGGGTTATGGCCATAGACTGTATATAAATTATGACAGAAAAAGTTAATCATAGGTACAGATGGACAATAACATGACAGCCTTAAAAACCAAACAGAACCCTTTGCTTTGATTGACAGTGAACCAGTCTATCTTGTTTAAACTGCATCATTCGGGTCCACAGCTCACTTTAAGAATATAAAAAACTTTGGCACACGTCCATGATGGAGCTCACAGCATGTTTGTCATGAGCCAGCTGGTTTTCCCTGAGAGACTCATAGTAATCATCCCGGTGGGAGTGAGCAGGAGGTCAGAGCTTTGGGCTGGTTCAGATCTTGAATTAAGGGATGATTTATTTGCTCAGACTGTGCAGAGGGATCAGTCCAACCAATGTGTGATTCATTATTTATAGTTCCGCAAAGCTGAGACTCATGGATTTAAGGACAGATTGTGGCAGTTGTTGTAACGTCTTACTGCACAACAAGTAATGTGGAGGATCATTTGACCAAAGTCTTAGAATGACATCATTTTAATGACATGCAATCATCTGCATTAATACCATATCAATTCAATCATTTGTTTTTTTCAAACAAAGTGACATATGGCTTTATTCTGATTTTACAGCAGGAGTCATGGCACAGGAAGAGGGAATTGTCATGGCAACAGCCCCATCTGTCGAGTCACATGTACGAGGAGATATGATTCCAAAAGTAACTTCTGGTAAGAAACACAAACACACACAACCATTCATTTATAAAAAGCTACTACTACTGTCAACTACTTTGACAGTCAATCATGCAATACTACTGTACTGCATAAGCATGGTCCAGAATATCAACATTTAAATTCTAAATAAGGCCGTGGGTTGCATGAACTTTTGGTGCTTACTCAAAAGAGTGTGTGGGATTTAGGAGGATCTATCGGCATGAAGTATCCCAGAAAGGTCAAACCAAACATTGGCTCTGAAGAGTTTGTTTTATTTTACCTGAAGGTCACTGTAGTTTCTCCTACCTCCTTGAAAAGGGATGTTTGAGGGTGGGCTACTATATTGGTTGTGTTTACTACAAGTGTGTAATACCAACCATGTGCCTGTATCACCTTTGAAACCAAACCTCAAAATACAGAAAGAAAAACATATGAAGAATAAGATCATTGTCTTCGAACAAACTAAAAATTTAAGTGAAATTGTTTTTTCAGAGCCAGAGGATCCACAGGACCAAATCCTGGTTTTCCCTACTGTGGGACCTCTACAGCCGACTGAAAAGACCACAGCAGCTACAGAAGAGGCAGGAAACGTTGAGAACAGCAGCCCTGCGGCTCCAGAGGAGGCAGCTGATGAGGGAACTCAGACCACTGCGGAGGCACATACCGACAAACCTAAAGTCATGGAAGCAGAAACCCCAGCACCCATGCCATCTAGAGGTGACGGCCCCAGAAACATTCCACAGGTAAGATACAACAGACTTTCAGATCAAGCTGCCTGCAGACATGCATTGAACTGCAGATGTTATCCTAAATGTGAGAACACAAATGTCCAATTCTCCTGAACTAAAAATGTAATGTCTGAAAACTGCTTTAGACATAGTCATACAGTGTTGTCTTTTATTTTACAAACAATAAAATGCATGTAATAGTATATCATTTATATTCAATAAATATAATTTAATACAAGGATGCATCCTTGACATGACACAACTTGCAAATGATTGTTCTTTAAGTACAAAGTGTGGCCGCATATTTTACACAAGGAAATGAATTATGTTATTTCATACAATTCAGAACCGTTTCTTTGGTCTTGTTTACAAATATGCCTCGAGCCAAAATTGGACACAAATTTGCATTGTATGAATAATTGAATAAATGAGCTTTCTGACTTTTTGTTTTTCTGAGATGGAGTTTGTTGTTCATCTGCATGTGCTGTGCTGCAGGCACACATTTAGGTTCCCTCTTTGATCATTTTGAATAAATTTAAATGGCCTAAATAAAAGAATGTGTGTATGGTCATCGAAAAAGTTAGGTATTGGGATTCAAATTTGCACCAAGTGGCATTATAATTTATATAATTCAGTCAATGGTATACAGCAGCCATGAGCCTAATGGTGAGACGTAATGGGATAATTACAGTTTTTGTTTCTCTCTGCAGCCGGGGCCAAATGATGATGTTGTGTGTGTCACCAAAGAGGTGGTGCAGGACAAAAACGCTGTCAGTCTGAAACTCAAGGCCTCATCCAACTGTGTGAGTATAAAAAAACATTCCCTACTGTCTGTTACATAAATATCTACTTACGTGTGATTTACTGTAGAATGGGCTGTTTGCGTAACCTGTGGTAATGCTGGTTGCAGCTCTGCAACCCTGAAGCTGCTCCACCGCTGCTCCACAAAGATCTGTTCATCAGTTATTTTAAAGTTTAGTTAAGCTCGAGTCAGTATGTAAAACCCCGAACTATAGAATCATTTGTCGTTGCTGCTGTCATCCAGATTTCTGGAATTATCGATAGATTAAATATCTATATATGATACATATAATCCTGCATGAGGTCCAAATATTGATGCAAATGCAACAAACTATGCTGAAAGTGAAATAGTCTTTGTTTTGAGGCCCCTCATGTAGCTTGAGAAAAACTGTATCCATCCTTGTTAATATTTCCCTCTTACATGAGAAGGAAAGTCCAAAAGGATTCTTGTACTGTGCATCTAAGCCATAGACTGAGCTGTGAGGGCAAAAGGAGGGGAGCGTGATGGGTGGGCTCACCGCTGCTGTGAGAATGTGTAATGTATAGAGGCCTGGAGCAGCAGCGTGGGTGTGTGGGTGGGTGAGTGAGTGTGATTGTGTTTAGAAATATAAATTCCTCAGTCTCCCAGGATGACAGCTTTGAGGTCTGCAGACATCACAGCCTCTACGTGTAGGCCTGAAACCACTAGATGTGATTTCAACTTTCAGAACCTGAGAAACAAATCCATTATTCAACTTTTAAACAATGCATAAACAGCTACAAACAGCCAAATGTACATCAGGGGGTTGTGTACTCATTAATTTTTCATAACAAGCCCAGAACTACCACCAAATTCAGCTGGGTTTTCTCTTATGTTTCCTACAGAACTCACAGGCTCTATCCAATATTAAGCCATTTTGCAAATTAAATTTAAAGTATTAGTGTAAAACTTTAGGCAATTTAATACCACATAGGAAGATATAAAATGAGTTCTGTAATAAACTTTAAAGCTTTTTGCAATGTCATTTTAAAATAAATCATTGTTTAATTGTAACAGGTACCTGCCGTTCTATAGATCTGTGAATTATTTAAATGTTTCTTACACACTATGATGTAATGTCACAGTGTTTAATGAGGAGGACACTGAGAAGGGTTAGATCAGCATCCTGACCTTAGACAAGTTTTCGGACTCCAAAAAACTGCCTGCAAAATTGGGTCAAATAATTGGGGGGGCAAATAAAAAAGATCAAATGTCACTTTATGTCATCTGTGCTTTTTTAAGACAAAGACTTCCAGACAGAGGGTTCTGTTTCAGGCCCATAGCTAAACTACTGAGCTGGTATCAAGAGGCGTTCAGTGTGGCAGATTGGATCAGATGACATCAGGGAAAAGGTCGCGCACAAGACTGTGATATCCCTTATTGGATTAAAGTTGAAGAAACAGAGGGAGAGAAGGGATTAGGGGAGGAGTGGCAGATTCAAGACAACACTGAAGATTAAAGGTGGAGTCAGTGAATCTGGGTAGCGAGTGTTGATGTTTGAAAACAAATACACCCCTCCCTTCACTGCTCCGTCAGAAGTTCCAGCTCGCCCACATTCATGCACACGGTTTACAAAGGTGCATCCAAAAGTTGGAATTAGCCACCATAAACATTATCCTTATCTGTAGACAAAATACACTGGCTGTATTTGCACAAACTACATGTTTGATGACCAGAATAAGCTGCGACAGTGAGTGTGTGTCTGCCCTTGAAGAAGCAGACACTAATGTACCGTTTGCTTTGTACCACCACTGTTACCGACTGGCTGCTGCCCACTCGAGGAACGTTATGTACTGGTGTGCAGTCACTGCAGCCCACGGTGCTGTCAGAAGGCAACTCCCAGAGATCTCTCCTCATTTGAACAGCTCACCCTTTTGTTATTGTATCTTCCTTTGGTTAGTTAACCTAAGTGTGGTGCAGTGTTAGTCTGGTCCCAACATCCCTTGAAAGTAGAGAGCAGAGGAAAGGTGACACATCTCATTTGAGTAACACGTGGTGTTTCCACATGTTTTCTTGAAAATCGCTCCAAGAAAGAAGATACGTATATACTGTTAATAACCATTTAGCCCCCAGTACATTGTTACTGCTGGAAAAGTGTTGTTCTGTTCAGGTTGTTCAGCTTTCTTTGTTTCCCAAATACAGAGCCAGGTCTGCATATTTACACCAGATTCATTTTTAGTGCACACAGAATGGAGAGCTAGCGGAGCCATGAGGAGATAGAGATTAGAATTGGACAAAAAGTGTATTGAATTAGTATTTTTGTAGGGAGCTGATCAGGGGTTATCAATGAATATCCCCTTCTGCAATGTGCAATAAATAATATGATAAATGAAACCATTCACATTTTGAAATGAAAATGCTTCAATACTAATTATCTGAAAATGTCTTCCCCTTGCAGAAAGACACCAAGCAGAAGATTGAAAGTGTTGTGCAGGAGCTGTGTGGAGAAGACTGTAAACTGGAGCTCTACCAGGAGGACAACTCAGATGAAATCCTTGTGTCTGGAAAATATGTTGAAGGTCAGTAACACGCTTGCGTTAATTCGCACCCTGAGCCTTCAGATGATAATTTGTGTTTAAAACGCCATTTTAATCAGATGCAGCCTTAGTTAAGGGGCATAAGATTAGCAGCATGTACACTTGCACTTCTCTGAATAATTTTTATTTCTGTATTTATTTGCAGCCGACATCACAGGCATGGCCAACAAGTTCAACAATGACAACATCAAAGATAAGGTAAAGTGTCACACATATCTTAATGTAGAAATGCTCTACATGTGTATATTCTTCATGTACCTGAGATAGTATTTTTAATCAGTAGTTATTGGTAGGACCTCTACCTTAAAATCATGTTCACATACATGTCTGTGATTGTCCTCAGAATTGTCTTAAAACATGGACCAAGCTGGTACCCACTCCCACAAACAGAAAAAATGACAAACAATACTATGAATAATGAGGATCCAATAAAAAAGTAAGACTGCAGCAACATATAATATGGAAGTGGAGGAGAAAATACACCAGGCAGAAGAAAAACACTCCTGGAGTTATCCAAAGGCTTCCAGCTGCCAGGCTGAGTTTAGTGTGACAAACAAAAAAACCCACAAACAATCCAACTGTCAGCTGCAAAACATTTTTTCAGTACCCAGGGAACAATCTCGGGTTATGGGTGTGCCAGTCACACCCTCCTTTCTTCTCCTGACTTGCGTTTCTCTTCTTACCTCAGCACACACTGAATAACCTTATTAGCAAGTTAACGATGTTCCATGCAGACTCATTCTTTATTACACAGTCTATTCACTGGCATCTTTTTTGTCTGATATTGATTTTAAGCAAAAGGAAAATTTAATTTCTCTGGATAAACCTCCACCAACACAGGATATGAGTGGGGGTTGTTTTTATTCTCACAGTTCTGACAACAGAAACCACACAATGACACAGCTGCATTTAATCTTGTGTCTTCGTGTGTCACGTTCATGTTGTGCAGTCACTGATCATTAGTTTGACTTATAAGAAGCACATTGGTCCAGTGATCAGTCAAGTGATCCTGCTATTTTGTTGTCATTGTTTTGTTTCAGGTTGATGTGGAGGAAGCTGTTCCTCGCTGGGGGAAGAACTCGAAGTTGGTCCTGGTTTCCTTGCTGCTGACTGGCCTGTTGCTCGCTGCTCTGCTTGTGGCTGGTTATTACTTCAAGACCCACCGCAAGAACTCTAAAGGAGTCAGACTGGTGAGTATAGGTTGGAGGAGGTGTGTGACGCTGTTAATTACCACCTCAAAAATTGGTGGTAATTAAAATGTCAGGGAACAGGAAAGTTTTGTTTCAACACAATTTATAATCAGCTTGCTAAAGCTATATTTTAAACGTGCTCATGAGGTCAGCTGTCAGAGAAAGGCCTGGCTACCTTCTGCGTTGTATGTCAGCCGAGGCACTGGGATGGTTTTTGATTTAAAACACTAAAAGAAAAACTCATGTATGGATGTACCCCAAGATAATGTGGAGCCACAAGATTCAGTTCACTGAGGATACTATGTTTGAAAAAGGTTAAATGAACTCAACTTGAGGTTAAATGTTTGGTTATCCTTGGTCAATCCTAAGTCAATTCCTGACTTGATGGGAGGACGTGTTTGACTCCTGTGTCCCACAATTCAAAGCAACATTAATTCCTTGAAGCTGTTTGCAATTCAACCCTTTGCCAGGGGTCAACAGATGGTTTTGGTTTTTTGTTGCAAAACTTGTGTCGTCACTTAAAGTGTTTACATATGGAGGCGCACCCATTTTTATGAACATGCCTATAAGGTTCTGTCATTAAATCAAGCATTAAACATTATCCACAACAGCCTGGCTGACAGTCAGAGCACCTCATCAAACGTTTACCAAGCCACTTCCAAATAGCTTGCTCACATGTTGTTGACCTCTCAAGAGCTAAAGAATTACCAACACTCATCTGAGTGCGCACACAGCTGACACCCATAAACCTCATTGATGAAAAATGCATTAATTTACTTTTAGAAACTACGCACAACAACAAGTCTGTTTCTTGCTTGTTTGTACATCTTATTAAACCTGTAGGTTAAACTCTGATCTCACGTGAGGGCTCTGTTCTCTTCTTAGGCCGAGTCTTTCCAGGTGGATGAGGAGAACCAGGCTAACACCCTGGTGTCCGTAGCCCCGCTGCCCCAGGAACCCCTCGACAAGCCCACACCCAACGGAGAGTCGCCACCTGAAAATGGGACCAATCAGACCCCCACCACTAATGGACACTCCCAGACCCCAGTGGCAGATACAGAGATGTGAATCACTACACCCCCAACCTCTCCCTCATCGTCCCGTTCTACCAGTTACACACTGGGACACACCATCCACAAGCCCCTTGTGCTGCCTCAGAGACTGTCCACACACTGAGACAAATTCAACATGAACCCGCTTCACTACATCCAACCACACCCCCACCAGCCCTCAACCTGTACCTCCCAGACGACGCTGAAAACAATGATGAAGCTCATCACTACAATGATGATAAATGACAATGCCTGTAATGTGAAAATCACCGGCCACTGCCGGTGTCAAGAGGAACCAACAGATGCTGTTTGGGACTGAGACTGATCTGCAGGGCGCTGACTGGAACCTGTTGGCTGCCCTGACGTCAGTCTGGTAGTAAACATTGTAGAATCAGTTGTGTTATGTCAAATACATGATGCTGAACCCTAATGAAGAAGCAGAACATGCTCAACTATTTCAACTGTGTGGCCATGAAACCAATGAAGGCCAGGCATAGATGAGAAGAGCAGTTTCTGTACTGTTGTAAAAAAGGACTGACACTCACTGCTTGATTGTTTTGGTTTTTTGGTCTGTGTAATACAGTAAATATTCTGCCTCACTTTCTGCCTTAACTATAGGCCTATAAAAATTTGGAAAAATAAGAGACTGCAACGTTTGAATTGATTTAAAGTTTTCTCAATTTCTTCTCGAACTTAGAGCAACATGTACCATTGTTAAGATTCTTCATGGAAACCAAAGACCAGCTGACACAGTGTTAGTTGTGTAGGAAGTAGTTGAGATATCAAGCAGAAAGCATCATCTTTGGTTTTACAGGGGAATTAAATAATGCTACTAAAAGCTGCTCATAATGTGGAAATGCGTCAGTGCTTCACTGATAGAATAATAGAAATTGAAAAATGGATATTAATACTTCAAAGTTTAATTGGGATAGGTTGCAAAGTACATTTCTATTTTTGTGTGGTGCTTTTTCATTAGGGCATTAGTGTACAGTTTCCCTTTTTTTTTTTTTTTTAAACGATGTAACATTCTTCCTTCTTGCCTTTGTTAATGGTGAAACCCTGGCAGCATTTTTTTTTTATTCTGAGAAAAAGGTCTTTTCAAGATTCTTTTAAGGTGCTAGACTGGTAAACAAAATCACCAGCATGAAATTCCTACACAACATGCAGCAGGTTGAGCATTCCAAAGAATGTCTCTATCTCCTTGTTGATAAAAATGAAAATGCATCAGTGCTACACATTTTTTTAGCTTCTCTTTTGAACAACTGGTTGCTTTCATAATGTACTGCATGTGTAAATAAGCCTGTTTTCTAGCCTGTAACTCTGCCTGATTCATAAACTGTGATTGTTGACAAAATATTTGTGGTATGTCTCCAGTCTACGTCTGTTTTAGCTCATGTGGTTCAAGAACCAACGCATTTTTAACATTGTGTGTGTGTGTGTGTGTGTGTGTGTGTGTGTGTGTGTGTTTAGGAGATGTCACAAGATGTCGCCAGTGAGCAAAATCACAGGCTCATAGGCATCTTGACTGATGTGATCTCATCATCACCCACTTGCACTTAAGAGTTTGGTTATTTGCCCCCAGAACACGCCTCCCTAATTTAGTAAAATTTTGAACAACCAAGACATCTACCAAGATTTATGATGACTGCACAAATAATTTATATACATTATTTAAAAATATTAATAATATATCTCAGTCCCTTAAGGCTGCATAAATTGATCTTTGATGGATTTGAAAGAAAATCCTCAATATAGGTCAGGACCACACCTGCAACTAATTCAGCAAGGGATACCCAAATTAGATTAAAACCCTCTGAGTTATCAGTTTGATGACAAACACGCAAGTACCGCCAATTACAATACACCCAGCCTCTACCGCAGCATGGGTATAAAAATATGATCGCGCATTTATTCAAGCTCCACCCAAGACAATGACAAATAAAAAATGCTTGTCTTAAAAACAGACATTTGAACTTGATAATCATTCTCAAAATTCTATATTAACATATGAAGCCACAGTGAAGGATAATGGCATTTAACACTAAAATAAGAAAATTCTATGTTCTCCGTCATGGTTTCTATTGGAATGCAAATAGATAGTTTGACTAAGACTGGGACGGGCCGTAGAAAACCCAGCGAAAGGTTATAGTTTGAATGAACAGGGAAAAAGCTAATTTTCTATTCAAAACATACCATCAGCGATGCCCTTCAGTGAGGCCAGTGCAGTAATGATTCCTGGGTTGTACATACCGTAAAGGGAGGAGACAATTTCTCATACATATAAACAAAATATTGACACTGGCCACTAAATATTGAATTTCTTCTTTTGTTAAGACATGTTCAGGCTTTTTACACCTTTATATTAGAGGGTTCCTACATTACCAAGTAAACTGGTGGATGCCCCCAATTTTCTAATTTTCATTGTAAAGCCGCCCCTCCTGACGCCCTCCTACACACACACACAGATTGACAATGGACCCATCTGTAGAGTCAGACTGGCTTCAAAATCCTTTGGTCTAAATGGTCAAGATGTCCTTCATTTGCATAAACAGCAGGGGAAATGAGATCCCATCACAAGTGGTCTCTTGATTGGGGAAATGTTTGGAAATGGCACGATAGAAACGAGTTGAAGACATCTTTCCCATTCAGCCTGATTTGCGAGCATTTGAATGCCCTCATCACTACGGGTATGTGTGCCGGCCTGTGGATTTTCCTAACAGTCTGGGATGCACAGCGATTGGGTGCTGGCTGCTCCTTTACATGTCCTAAAGACCCTGGACAGGAGGACATCATTTCAAAGAAGGGAACCACAGCGTTACTTTAGCATGATGGAGAGGGCTTTCGCATTTCTGATTCTCACAGGTCTCATCAAGGGGGTCGTCTGCGCCAGCTTTGGGATGAATGTTGCTGTCTCCATAAAAATGTCTTGGTCAGAAGCCAGAAACTATTGTAGAGAGCGCCACACTGATCTGTCTTCAGTCAACAGCCTAAAGGAAGATGGAGAACTCTACACAATCAAACACGAACAAGGGCCTCCTAACGCCTGGATAGGTCTCTACAAAGATGCCAGTGGTACTTGGAAGTGGTCGGGAGGGGGAAATGCATCATTCTTCAACTGGTCAACAGAGGAAATCACTCAGGGAGAAGACGGCAATTGTGTTGTACACAGCACAAAAGGCTGGGAAGCAAAAGACTGTGAGAAAACCCAATTGCAGTTCTACTGTTTTCAGAGCAGCCTGGTTTTGGTGCAGGAAAAGAAAACATGGGAGGAGGCAATGGAGCACTGTCGCCAACAGAAAAGTAACCTGGTCAGCCTGACCTCTGAAACTGCTCTGACTAAAATGCTCCAGATGAGCAGAGAAGCCCAAACAGACCACGTGTGGAACAGCCTGCGCTATCTGGCTGGTCGCTGGCTGTGGGTGAACGGGAGTGACATGGAGTACCAGGCCTGGAGCCAAGGGGAGATGTCAAAGTGCCCCAAAAGGAATCGCCACTGTGGGGCACTCTCACTGAAGGGACAGCACGGGGTCGATTGGGACTGTGAGGAAAAAATTAACTTTGTGTGCTATTAAAATACTCATAACATAGGTACACATATGTAAAACAGACCATAGTATACATTTAAACAAGGTATATGTGGATAGTGGTGTTGAATCAACTGCAATTTAATGGTATGCATGTTATTGGTGAATTATTTGATATAAGGGCTTTAATTAAACTGTTTTATTCCCACTGCCTGTTTATTACTCATGTGATGTACATTTCTATCCAGTCATTCAAATGCATGAATTCACTTATTATTGATAAGTATTTTGTGAATCAAAATCAATGTATCTTTTAGGAGGATGAACTTTATTCTGTTTACTTTACGGTATCGAATACTCCGAGTGTCTGTGTAAATGTTATATGTATCTTTTCTCAATACATGAATATGATGATGATGATGATGATCGAGCGGCCAATCAGGCTTGATGGAAATATGTGAACTCCTTCTTGTATCACAACAGAAACTGTGTCTTAACAACAAAGTGGCAACCACAAAGAGCAGCTGTTGTTACTGCTGCTGACAGTAATGGTCCAAAATGTCAAAGAGGCAATGACACAGGGGCTCCTGAAGGCCGTGAAGAGTCAGTCACACAGCGCACGATCAGAAGGTCACCTGTCATCCTGCGCGTGGATAATCTGGAGAGGGGGTATGCGTGTGAAAAGCAGGACTCTGAGTGAGTGTGTGTGTGTGTGCTCATGTGACCTTTTTCAACCCTTGTTGTTAGACTCTGACAGCCCATACATGCCTGATGTAACGGTTCACTCACCAGTGGGATAGAGGCTGCCACTGTCTGTACAGCTGCTGTAAAGCCGAGCGGGAGCAAAGGTCAGCATGGTGTTTGCTGATAGCAGCTCAGCAACGACTCCCATCCAGATCATAATTCCTGCAACAACAAGTATTTGAAATGTCAGCGCTTTTAATGTATATCCATGTGGAATCTCTCATTTTTTTGGGGAAAAAAGTCAGGGTTACAGTTTATACTCTGCGTGTCTCAGTGATTCTATATTTGACATAAATATTTACTACTCATACACAAATTAAGGAGTAATTTTGAGTCCAGTGCCTTGCTTGAGGATATTTCAACATGTGGTCAGGAGGAGGCAGCATTTCTACCACCACTGATCCACTCCACCATCTGAGCAACAGCCACCAAACCAAACATCTCTATTAGATGGAAATTATCCCATGCATCTCCCACTAAATCCCATGCCTACTGTTTTCAAATGTATGTATGTTGTAGTAGTAGTAGGATAAAAGTACAATAGCTCATGACTACCAAGTACTTAATAAGTACTAAGATAAGTGCTGCTCGTTGAGTTGGGGTTCTTTATAATATTGTAAGGTGTAAAATGCCTTGAGATAATGTATGTAAACGTTCAATACAAACAGAATATACACAATGTAAACACAACATACATACAGTGTAACTAGGATTACACATAATAAACACATAATATTGAGACTGCAGACAGAAAGTGAGTATTGCACTGTTGAAATGAAACATGAGTGGGGTCGATATAATATAATACTTAGTACAAAGTAGCATATATGTATATATATATTAATCCAGAAAACAACCTGTGTTGATTACTGATTTTACTAGTTAGAGCCATGTGACCCATGCACTAATTGTAAACAGCAAAACACAATTGTTAACACTGTGTCTCCACCTAGTGGTGGTCACTCAACATTTCAGCTGTTAGGGTGGCACAGAGAGCAACATCTTCCTGATGAGGAGACGATGAGTTGAAAACACCTGTCATGTTATTTTCCACGTGGAAAGTTGAGTTATCTTGACATTTAAAGATTCTGTGTGTAGAATTTAGCGACATGTGAATACCCCCCCATCCAACCATGTAAGAGAACCTGGTGGCCTTCAGTTGTCATAAAAACTCAAGGTTGGTTCAGTTTTGAGAACTGTAAAAAAACATGGCGGCCTCCATAGAAAGGAACCTCTTCCGATGTAAATATAAAGTATTTAAACGTAAACAGCCCATTCTAGGGTAAAGAAAACAACTATTCATACAATTTAGATGAAACACACTAATGAAAACATCGCTAGGATTATTTTATATTCTAGTTCTGCCAATAGATGCCTTTCACCTAAATCTTACACACTGGACATTCAAGTAGTTAGAAAAGCAAATGTTGTTGACCATTAAAATGTTTGTTCTCTTTTTTAAACACTGTCCATGTTTAAAACGAAGCTACAGAAACAAACTCGCGTCTACTCACTTCGAAGTTTCTGTCTCCAAACGGACCAAACATTAAAAACGACTTTTATCTGATCTTAACAGTGATCTCATCGGTCAGGTGAATTCCCGCCAAAACATGATGACGTATTTACCGTAAGGGACCGTAAAGCGGAGCAGTGAGTCACGTCACCTACCGTAAACTACAGTAAAACGGTGACTTGCAGACGGCAGAGTGGCTCAATGATGCGATTTATGGCTTTAAATGTTCCAGAATTAAAGCTGAGGTCAGTGGATATAGAGCAGCATCACGTGGTTCACGTTCTGTCTTTGTTCTTGGCTATCTGTGTTTTTTTTTAGTTTGTCAGATGTTGAGTCAGAACATGAGTCAGCATCACGTCACATCTAATGCCCCCTTCATAGGTGGTCGTGATCGTCTGCTCATGACAGGTCAATTATACAACAGCCTGTTCTAACCTATATAAAATCCGAGTCTATAATATATACTTCAGACACTGTATTATTTACCCATAGGAATATGCCAATAATCTAAAATCAAGGCATATTCAAAATAAAGTCAATGCAATCTACTCAAATGATTAGACACTGCCACATGTTTTAGTAAAAATGAATGGAGGCAACACATTATACCATGGAGTTTGACATACAGTATCTTCAAGTATAAAGTTACCTCATATTTATTTGTAATGGTCATTGTCAAAATGTTTATTCATTTCATATATGTACTACTACATCTTTTTATATGCAGCAATTAGGAATATTTTCTTATGTTTATTTGTCATATAACACAGGGTCATCAGTACAGTGAAAAGTGTTAAAGAAAAATATAAAGAAAATAAAAAAGTCAACACAATTCTTTATGCAGCTAAAAGTGCGTGGATACAAGTAGAAATCAAATATACAAGTGAAAACAAGTTATAACACATTTTTAGAAGTAAAGTAAATATGCAAACAGACAGTTAGCAGATGTGCACAGGGATGTTTAGACATGGATTGAAATATGAATTCATGAGCCCGACGACCTTTTAGTGATATTTTTGATGATAATTACATCTCAACAGCTACTCGAAAAGAAAGGGGTTCTTGATCTTTTGGCTTTTAACCTACTTAAAATATAGTTATTAGTTAAGCTACTTTACACTCTTAGACCCATATTAGTGCAAAAAGTAAATAAATAAAAGAAATAAGTGACATAATACAGCACAAAAAAATAAAAATACAACCACCACACTTTAAAAGTCCACAGGGATTAAAAACACATACAGACATTTGTTCCAGGTCTTTCCAAAAACAACTCAGTGAAGGACTTTATGATCATGTGTTTTTGATTTAGTTCATCGAAACATAAAATGATGCATTGATTATTTGTAACCACTTATGGGATGTGAGCAACTAGATGTGATTCTTTACCTCTGGAAATTGACATATTTCGATAATTTATAAAGGAATGTATATGTGAAAGTATATCCAGAATAAGAAAAATGAAAAATATACATGTTCTTTCTTTATTAGATATTCTTATTAATCCTTGTGTGTGGACCTTGTGGCCTGATGGAACAATAAAGTGACACAGCAGTTCCTTCTGTCTAAATGAAATGTAACAGCCCTGATGTGATCATTGTTCTGATGTAGGTGATATGCGTCAATATAAATAGAAATGCTTATGTCATATTTTTCATAATGCTTACAAAAACAGAGCAATAAACTCACTCGGCACAGCATCTGCTCGTTACATCAAGGGGAGGTAGTTTATGGAAAAAAAGTATCGACTATTTTCAACCTCTTATGGGTTGTGAGCAACTAACTGTGATTTTTACTACTGGAAATGGAAACATTTGTAATATTTATGAAGAAATGCAGATGTGAAAGTATATCCAGAATAAGAAAAATGACAGATATACATGTTCTTTATCAGATATTCTTATTCATTCCTTTTAATTCTTGTGTGTGGCCCTTGTGGCCTGATGGAACAATAAAGTGACACAGCAGTTTCTTCTCTGTATACCATAATAAATGACATTCAACAGCCCTCGTGTGATCATTGCTCTGATGTGGGTGATATAAGTCGTAATAAATATAAATTGTTTATGTCATATTTTTCATCGTGCTTAAATAAAACAGAGCAATAACCTCTCGGCACGACATCTGCTCGTTACGTCAAGGGGAGGTAGTTTACGGTAAAAAGGCTCCATTACCATGTGATTTCACCGATGTTTGTAAACATGCGTCAGCCACATGTGATTCTGGCGATGAGGAAAGACTCTACAGCCGCTCGACCAATCAGGGAGCGGGGGAGTGTCAGGGGGCGGGGTATGCGTGTTGCGCTATGGAAAATCGTTAGTGGGACAAACTGTGTCCAACGCTACGCACCGACAGCGGCGGAGAGGCTGAAACCGGAGCCTGATGGACCGGGGACCGGGGGCTGACAGGCACTGGCTGCTGGACCTGGACGAGCCTTCTTCCGCCTGGCTGGGGAGACAGCCTCCGGGAAAACGCGTAAGTTATCTGTGTTCAGACGGAGCAAGAGCGACCCCGAACGCTGCGTATGTGGCGTAGAGAATACCACTTTGTAATTCACAACCAGGCGAGTGCTCGGTGGGAATAAAGAAAAACACCAGAGGCGCAAGTGTGAAGAACATCAAAGGCAATAAAAGTCCCGTGTTCGCCATCGCACCGTGCGCGAGAGGGGGTGGGGGGGTTAAAACGGGGGGAAACGTCGTACACACTTTTTTCCCCCTGCTCATCACGAGTGTTTTATCATCGACATGACAACAGGTAAATGAAACTGCGTCAGCGACAGGAAGCCGAGAAACCACACGGAATCCAAGAGGGAATTTCCGCTGCTGCGATGGTGGAGCGGTGGGAAACTTGCGCTTCGTCCGAATCCAACGTTAAAAACGAGGACGTAAACAAAGCGTGGAATCGGTAAGGATGGCGTGTGAAGGAGGAAGGAGCTCGGAATAGGATGCTGCGCAAGAGATGGGTAGTGCGTAATCCTTGTTGTGGGAGAGGACGGTGTTACGCAGTTGGTATTGGCACGACCATTTAACACCTCATGGCCTCGTGGTCTTTATTTTCTGACATTATCAAATGTCACCGCCTGATTTTTCTACAAACACAATAACATCAGAGCACTCTCCAACCGCGCACTGACGCGCAGGAGGGCTGTTCTGTTGTTTGCGTAATTTCAGCAGGAAACTTGACGCGTCACAAGTGAACAGCACAATGGTGACGCAGCTTGTTTAGTTTCACCATGTGTCAAACAACATTTGCTGCGTCACAGAGATCCCGGGAGGATCATTCATAGTAATCTGGCTCTTCTTAGTGCGCACTTGAGACGATGAAAACAAGTTGTGTTACCCGGACATTAGGGGGCGCTGTTGAGCATTAATGAGCAACACAATCCCTTGGCATCACCTATCTGCTGAGGGATGTTGACACACAGGTATTTCTCATCTCTGCCTGAAAACAGCAACTGTCACTTTTCCTTTTTCTTTATCTCTTGGACCTGTTTTGTATTCATAACAGGGGCAAACAATGGGATTATATAACTCCAAAGTTAATTTCCAAAATAATAAAAAATTACCATAACTTAGCTTCATCTGTTTGCTCCTCAGAGTCTTTGTTGCCATTTAGCAGATTTGCTTCCTCCTGCGTCGGAGCTTGCAATGGACACCAGCCACAGCGCAGCAGGACACGGACACGCCTGATGTGATGACACAAGTTGCTGTTGACTCAGAGGCCGCGGGCCTCTTGAACCTTCCTAATGACCCCGGTGAAGAAAAAAAGGGCGTGGTGCCTCTCTACCTCCGCTTACCTGCCAGAGGGACAGGAGAGCTTCTGAGGTGAAAATTAGACACACACACACACACACAGAGGAAAACCCTTAATGACAAGTGGATTTGTTCAGTCAATGGGTGAATCAGCAGTCGACCTCATGAGCTGCTAAACTGCTGGCAAGGAAATAGTAAGAGGGGGAGAGGGAGAGAGGGAGAGACAGAGGGAGCGAAGGGGAGGGGAAGGAAGGAGAGCTTTAGAACTTTAATTATGTGTACTGAATAGAAACTTGACTCCAGAGGGAATGTCATTAGTAGTTTTGAAACAAACAGGTAAAGGTCATGGGAGGAAGGAGAGGCCGATCACTGAGAGAGTGTCAGGGATGGCCTCACAGCAGAAATCCCCCTCGTCTTACTTAAGTTATTCTGAAAACAGGGGTCAGATAATCTTCTTCACGCTAAAGCTCAGCAGAATCGTTTATTGATTATCGCGTACTTCGCAGTCGTAATGTTTACCGTGTCTTCCCGGGGCTGACCATTAGAACAAGTGACCCACTTTCACCGACAAGGAAACGTGACCTCAATAGTTATTTTGCTATTCTCTTTCGGGGAGGGGCGCTGCCTCTCGAGTCAAACAAACAGCAGAGCACAGTAGCACAAGAGGCCTCAAATGAGCTGCTTTCAACTTAGTTTCATTCAGACCTCTTGGAGGAATGTCTCAATAATGAGGCAGGCAAATGCAATTCAGCCGATAATGTGAGGCCAAAAGCTAGATGCAGCAGGAGATCACTTTTAAAAGACAGTGGATAGGCCTTGCGGATGTTTTGGGGGCCGGCATCACCTGTAGCCCTCGTGAACCTTCAGAGGGAAAATGTTTGAGCGACCTACTGCCTTTTAAAACAGATCCCTCCTACGCACAGATTATAGGAAAGGAGGTGGCCCCGAGCTGAGAGATGACAGTGCTAAAATTAAACTCGGAGCGCTGCTGGCCTCGCTAGATGATGATGTATTATTAGACAAGTGTGAGGCAGGTATCATTAGCAACCAGACACCTAACATGCTGCAAAAGAAGAGTCGGGGTACTGTAAGCTACTGTGCTGAAACACTTCTTACTGCCGTTATTAATCGCTTCAGTTTTACTTTGCAAGATTAGTTTCGGTAAAGATTTCTGTTAGATGGACAATCCGAAGGAGGAGGATGACATAGTGACGCAGCTTGTGCTTCTGTGCAATATTTACTGATATCATTTGGGGATGCCAGCCAGATTTCCTCCCTCCCTTCCTGAAGACCTGATGTGTTTTCACAAAGACACCCTGTAGCCCTGTAGCTATTTCAA